AGAACTACTTTTAGAGCTTATGATAGAAATATATAACAAAGTATTTCAATGGAGATTAAATTATTTTTATGGAGTGAATTTTATTTTTTCCAAAACCATTCTTTCAGGTATCAAACATAAAATTATTAGATTAACGTTGAGAAACATTTGTAATAACTGAAATTCCAAACGCTTATTTGGGGGATATTTAAAGTGTCCTAAATAAAAATGATTTGTAAAATAACAATACTTTGTAGGAGCAACATGAAATAAAGACAAGTTTAAATGTTAAATTAGAAGTTGATTTAAGATAGCTTAAAACAATTTTACCTATCATGATTATTTTGGTCTATCACATTTTTTGTTTCAAAAATCCTTTATGGAAAGATAAATAATGAAGAAGATAGTACTAACAATTGATGTCCTAAGTACTTCTCTCAGTTTAATAAATACATCGATAGAGTTATTTTGAATAGGTAAGGAAAAGCTGAATACTAATTAAATAAAACTCCACTTTTGAAAATAGAAATTCTGTTTTCAATGAATACTTTGAAGACTTCTAGGATAAAATTAATGGATAAAAGACTCAGAGTATGAAGTGATTTTATAAGGCTAATTTTCCCCATAGCTATAAGATGGAAGTATTTTAAGTTTACTTTTAGGTGATAGCTATATCCGGAGAAGTGAAGTATTTTTTTAGTCCAACATTGTCATTTTTTTTTTTTTGTCAGCAATGCAGAAATATATTGGGAATATCGTATTTCTTCTTATAGGCCAGACAGTCAATAGTTTACTTTTTAAATTTTTCAAGATTTAAAGTGAACAATATACTATTTTAAAATACACAAGGTTGTACTGCAGATCTCTAGAATTACCTGGCATAACTGAAACTTTATATATACTTATTGGTTAGCAGTTCCCCATTTCTCCACCCCAGTCCTTAGTAGCTATGATTGTACTCTCTGCTTCTGTGAGTTTGACTATTTTAAATAGTCATACTACCTCAGTATGTGCTAGATAGCTCTTATACGTAGAATCAGGCAGCATTTGTCCTTTTGGATTGGCTTATTTCACTTAGCTTAATGTCCTCAAGGTTTACTTATGTGGTCACATATTACAAGATTTCTTTTTTTAAGCTGAACAATATTCCAGTGTGTGTGTGTGTGTGTGTTTATGTGTAGACATCACACTTTTTATCCCTTCAGCTGCTGATGGACATTCGGGTTGTTTTTACATCTGGACTATTATGAATAATGCTGCAATGAAGATAGGAATGTTACCTCTTTGTGATCTTAATTTCATTTCTTTTGGCTGAATACTCAGAAGTTTGATTGCTAGATCATATGGTAGTCCTGATTTTAATATTTGGAGGAAACGCCATACTGTTTTCCACAGCACCTACACCATTTTACATTCCCACCTGCAGTGTACAAAGGTTCCAGTTACTCTATATCCTTCCCAAAACCTATCTTGTTTTAGCCATCCTAAGAGGTGTGAGGGGACAACACATGGTTTTGAGTTGTATTTCCATGATAGTTTTGTTGACCAGTTTTTCAATATATTTGTACCATTTGTATGTTTCCTAGTAGCTTAATTTTATATTAATGTGTTATCTTCGCTTTCTTTCTTCTTATGTCTCTTCTAACCTAAGAATCCTCGGGGGTCCAGTACTTTCATCACTCTCAAGTTCATAGGTCTCCAGAAAATTGTAGATAAACCTTCTTATATAAACTTGTTTTAATTTACCTTTTAAAAGCGTGTTTTGAGTAACAGCTGACCCTAAGTAAGTGATTGCTGTGAGGTCATTCTTTAGTTGTTGGGTTTTATTACTATTAAATTTGCTTTGTTGTTGTGGGAATATTTTGCTTTTCTATTCCCTACACTGATTTATCAGGGATCCTCTTTATTTCTTCTGGATCACGTCCCAAGTTCTTTACAGTTGTTATTTCAAAATATTATTTTTCTCTCACTTCATTTTAATTTTAGGTCTCCTTAATTATATCAGTCAGTCTTCACTTAAACACATTTTCTTTCTTACCAGTTTTCCAAAGGTAGGCCCTCCCTTGATACAAAGTCAGTCATTCTGACTCCTTAAATTTTGGGCTAGGGCTCCAAACTCCACTCTTCAGAATCAGCCATACCTTTTCTGTTCTTCACTTTTCTTTTTCTTCACTGAGTTATAGTATCTAAGGGGAAAATATCTGTAGACCTATGATTTTTCACTTTTTGACACATTCTCAGAGATTCTATGCAAATGTTAAGTCACTATTATTTACTACAAATGATTCAGCAGGCAGGGATATGTTTGCTGGTTTAATCAGTCTTAGTTGATAGGCTGGGTCACTCCAGATGTGCAATCCAGAAAAAGCAAACATAACCTACCAACTGCCATGGACTGTATTTAGCTGTCTACATACATGCTGGTAGGCAGATGTCAGCTGACTAATGAGGGAAATTTCCTCTTGGGTAACAATAAAATTTTCTAAAGGGCCTCCCTGGTGACGCAAGGGGTTAAAGCACCACACTTTGAAGCAATCCGCAGCCTCGGCAGCACAAATTCGATCCCTGGCCAGGCAGGGAGTAACCCACATGGTGAGGCAGACCTCTCCTGTCTCGTCCGCTGCTCCCCTCAGAGTGTATTTCAGCCAGTCTGCCTGTTCTCTTCCTATTCCGTCTCTGGTGAATCCTTTCACCCCCCTACCCGCATCTCTGGCCTGCACCCCAGCTCTTGTATGCATAAGTAAATCTTAAAAAAAAAAAAAGTTTCTAAAGACTTGCTGTTCTTGTGGTTCTTCCATTCCTTGGAGCCTAAGTGGATGCTTTTCCATACAGTTTGACAACTGTTAGGACATTAAGTTTGAAGTGGACATCAGAATTTCCTTTGGGATTTCCTCAGATAATTTTGTGGCCAACACCTCTTGTGACAGGCACTCTCATAGGCTCTGGGGAGATACATGTGTGTGTGATCTTACCTTTGTCTGGACAAGTAGGATTTGGTGGATAATATATATGATAAATTGCATATTAGATGACAGGTGCCAAGGAGGAAAAATGAGCAGAAATCAAAGGGAACATAAGTGTAGAATGAGGAGGGTGATTACAGATAGGGTAGAGGGTAAAAGTGGCATTCTAAAAGTAGCAATTGAACACAGATTTGAAGGAGGTGAAGGTGTGAGCCATATAGCTGTCTAGGCAAAGGATATTCTTCAGGGAGTGCAGAGACCTAGCTGATTTGCTCACGCAAAAACAGGAGACGTGAAGAAAGCAACTTCAGATCAGAGGGGTCTTTAAACATGTTTTTGCCACTTAGGTATATACACAAGAAAAATGAAAATATGATGTTCATACAAAACAATGTTCATAGCTGTATGATTCTTAATAGCCAAAAAGATTCAACACAGATGTTCATCAGCTGATGACTAGATAAACAGAATGTGGTCCAACCATACAAGGAAGTGGAACCACACTAAAGCTGTGCGTGAACTTTGAAATGTCCATACTGAATGAGAGAGGTCAGTCACTACCGTCACATGTTGTGCGCTCCCCTTTATATGAGGTGTCCAAAACGGGCAAATCCATAGTGATAGAACATGGGGTAGTGGGTGCTGGGAGTGAGGAGTGACTGTGAGCAGGGTTCTTCCTTTTGGGGTGATAAAAATGTTCTAAGAATAGTGGTGTTGGTTGTAAATTTCCATGGATATACTAAAATCCCATGAATTATATACTTTTAAAAGGGTGAATTTTATGGCATGTAATATTTAAAAGGCTGCTATAAACTGTTTTTGAGTGAAAGTGGTTTTATTCTAATTATGTGGAGAATATATGCTGATTAAGGTTTAGGCCAGTGTACACAGATGTGAAGATAGCTTAAGTGAACCAAAATTCAGCAGTTCAGTTTACATTATTGACAGTTAGGTATATAACTTACAATATATTTTTAGCACACACTTCTAAATATTAAGGGTAGGAAGAAAAAACCAAGTTAAAAAGGAAAAAGAAATGACCGCATTTAATTTTTAACATTTTTTAGTAACCAGTTACAATATCTATCCTGCAAATCTAGCTGAATTTTTTTCATGAAATATGTGGAATCTGGATTTTATACTCTTCTAGGTTCTCAATAAAGTAGTCTTGAAATAGTGCACGTAATGTGCATGTGTTATGCACATGCCTGGCAGGAAGCTCACCCCATGTGTGACTCATCACACAGTCGGACACTGTTCTGTATCCTGTTCAACCTAAGGAGTCCACCAGCCAAAGAACTATGGAACTTCTTAAACACTTACTCTCAGTTTTGGTGTTTACATCTTGAAGTTTGCAATTCCTCGTTGAGTTGCTTTGTTCTGATATATTCATGCAATGGAATACATGAAACCTTAATCTTTTTCTCAATGAATATTTAATTTCACAGGAAAAGGTTAATATCCTGTGGAAACAGGATAAGAATACAAATCACAGTCTCAATTTCATTGAAAAATAAAGCCTATTTTTTTCCTAAATAGAAAAGGGAGGCTAGAGTAGTTATCTTTGGATGCTGGAATGAAAGATGATTTACTTTTAGAGGCTGTTGTTATTTTTAATTTTTAAATTAAATCTTACAGTAAGTCCCCTTTGACGTGACTGCAAAATGGCTGACACTTAGAGCCATGAAGACCTTTTGGAATTGTTTTGACTCTTGGCAAATATTTTTGTGTCCTACCATGTGCCTTGGCATTGTTCAGCCAATGTGAGGCTTGGAGATTCATTTATTTTAACATTTCTTATTAGATTATGTATACTGAGGATGTTAGTAGAGGGCAGTTCTTGTCCTGAAGAAATCCAGTGTTGTAGTGGAGAGCAGGCTGTGACAGTTGGTGTGCTAGAGCTGAGCAGACCTTCCTCGTTTCTTTAAAACCTTACAGTGTTGCACAAATTGTGCTTTACAATCAGTATTGTGTGGCAGGCTGTGAAAATATGGTCTGGGAGATTCAGGAAAAACTCTCTGACACCGCACTAAATCCACCCATATCTTTCTCTTTCAGGTTTCAGCACAAAATGAACATAATTAGGGAAAATAAGGACCTGGCATGTTTCTACACAACAAAACATTCATGGAGAGGAAAGTAAGTATTTCTGTTGGTTTTTATTTTTCTTTACGGCTAATAAAATACCACTTTAAACATTATTCTTTCAGTATCTTTCTGTATCTGAGGTAGTACCACACAACTCTAATTCCATTCAGCCCACTCTTCTGAAAAGCGAAACAAGGGCCTCCCTGGTGGCGCAGGGATTAAAGTCTCAGCACTATCAAACTACTAGCAGCCACAGCAGCACAAGTTAGATCCCTGGCCAGGGAGCTGACCCACCTGGCGTGGCAGACCTCTCCTGTCTCACCCACTGCTCCCCTCAGCAGTGTATTTCAGTCACTCCACCTGTTCTGCTCCCCACTCTGTCTCTGATGAATCCTCTCACCACCCCCCCCCACCTCTTGTATGCATAAATAAATAAAATTTTAAAAAAAGTAACAATTAAAAGGAAAGCAAACCAATTATGCACCCTTTTGGGTAGGATCAGTTAATGGGAATGTAATTCAGTAGTAGCAGAGTGTTAACTTGACAACTTCACACCCTCGGGACACGCTTCTGTGATCAGTGAATTTCATGTCATTTGACTATCAGAGACAACCTGCCAATAGTGTGTTTTGTAGTTTTTCTTTAGGCATATAATGAAATTTAAAAATTGGGCTTCATCTTCTCCTTAGGAGGGGATGAAAACAGTTTTTGGTAACTTGCCTGGTCAGACCAAGATGTGCAAGCTTCTGTTTCTGCTCTGTAAAATGGGTGGTAAATCCTCCTCCTGCAGATTGCCGTAGGGTTAAATGAAGTGATACAGAGTGTGTGAAGGTTTTAAAATTAGGTCCTAAATACATTGAGTACTCAGGCGTGGCATCTTTTGACCATCACAAAGGCCAGTTAGTCTCTGGGCCTTTTGAGTAATAAGGAGTGTGCCCACCTTACAAACAAGTGACTGCGTTCTTCCAAGCCAGGCCTCATCTAAAACTGATGTGCACAAAGTCAGTAACTTTGGTTCTTTTCATTTTTTAGTAATAGTGTGTTAACTTAGAACGGTGTAACATCTGACTGAACACCAGTGTTGCTGATTTGCATCAGCAGACTGACTATAATTTTGAAAGATAAGTGTTTAATTTTATTTCCTTGTATTATCTCAGTTGTATGAGCTCCTAAGCTAAAGAGCATCACTGTTACCCTTGTAGAGTACTTGAAGAAGTTTTTTCTTCAGTTACTTTCACTGAGCAAAGCTCAGAGACCATTGTTGTCCTCTAGGCAGTATGAGTCTCTTTGAATCAGCCTTAAAAAATTGTATATTCATTTGATCCTTATTTTTTTCTTAAGTTGGTAGATTGCTCTGATCATAGTATAACTTCTGTTTTTAATACAGTTACAGCATAATTAACATTAATTCTAAGGAACAAACTTAACTATAATACTACTTGCTTTGTGAGTTTGTAATTGTGATCATGTGGAGGAAAATTTGTCTTAATGTTCTTAGGAAGTAGTGACTAGGACTTAAGACAGGCCTCCATTTTCTATTTTTTGTAACAGTAGGGAGCAGAGCCAGAGTCACGTGTCACTTAATGTTTCAGTCAGCTACGGATATCGACTACACAGGCTCTGCCTGTAGAATATTCTATAAGACCTAGGTGTGTATCACTGTCCAGCCTGGGGCTGTGTAATGTGTGTGTGTGAGAGTCAAGCCATGACAAACTCAGTTGACAGTGCATTTTCCTGGACATGTCCCACTCGTTAAGTGGCACTTGACTCTATTTCTGTGCTGTCAGCATGATTCCTTGCTCCATCATTCACACCTTGAAACAGTTTTGTTTTTATAATAGCTTTATTAACATACATAAAGCTCACCTTTTTCAAGTGTGCAGTTCCATGTTTTTAATCGTATTCATAGAGTTGTGAGCCATCACCCCAGTTTTTAGAGACTTGCATCATCCCCCCCCCCCCCCCCCGGAAAACAAAAATCTCTAAAAACATTGACAGTTATACCCCTTCACCTGTCTTCCCAGCATCTGACATCCACTAATCTACTTTCTGTCTGTGGATTTGCTTATTTGGGGCATCTTATGTAAATGAAATCATACAATGTGTGGTCTTTTGTGACTGTCTTCTGTCAGTATTCTTAAGGTTTCATGTTGTAGCACGTGTCAGTACTACTTTTTCTTTCATTGCTAAGTGAAATTCTATCATGTGGTTATGCCATGTTTTGTTTATCCATTAGTTGATGGAAATTTGTATTGTTTTACTTTTTTACTTTTATGAAAGGATAATGCTACTGTCGATGTTCAAGTACAAGTTTATGGGTGAATCTGTATTTCCAGTTCTCTTGGAGATATACCTAGGGATAGAATTGATTTTATATTGAGTTATATGGACTTATTTTTTTTTTAAAAGATTTGTTTGTTTTGTACAAGAACTGGGGTACAGGTCAGAAGTGTGCGAGGGTGAGAGAATTCACCAGAGCCAGAGCAGGGAGCAGAACAGGCAGACTGACCGAAGACACTGCTGAAGGGAGCAGTGGGCGAGGCAGGAGAGGTCTGCCAAGCCATGTGGGGTTCTCCCTGGCCAGCAGGGAATCGAACCGGCGCTGCAGAGGCTGCAGACAGCTTCACAGTGCGGCACTCAACCACTGCGCCACCAGGAAGGCCCGAGTTATATAGACTTACATGGTAACTTCGTGTTTAACTTTTTGAGGAACAACCAAACTTTTCCAAAGTGGCTGCAGCCTTTCACAGTCCTGCCATCGGTGTGTGAGGATTCCAGTTTCTCACATCCTTACCAATACTTCTTGTTGTCTTTTTTTTTTTTTTTTTTTTTTAATTTTAGCCATCCTAATGGGTATGAAATGGTATCTCATGTTGAGATGTTGAGTGTCTTCATGTGCTTGTTGGCCATTCGTCTGTCTTCTTTCATGAGATGTCTGTTCAGATCGTTTAGTCACTTTTAAATTGGGTAATATGTGCTTTCATTGTTGAGTTGTAAGAGTTTATATGTCCTGATTGTAAGTCTCTTATTAAACATATGATTTGCAAATAGCTTTTCTGGTGAGTATAATTTCTGATAAGGGTCTTGGTCAGAATCTGAGTGTCCTGGTAATAAAGTTAGATGAATGATGAGCTTGCCCATCACTTTGTTCCAAGTAGCAGCAGTCACGGCTACTTGAAGCAGAATGATGCTAATTGTTATTAGTTGAGTGACACTGCTGGAATTTTGAGCCCCTTGTCCCCTATTCAATTAGCAGAATAATAGCAGTGAGAATAGCTGACATTTATCAGTTATAAACAATAAGTGACAACCACTGTACATGGTTTTAATTGTCACATTATGAAGTAGGAGTGTATATTACCCACATCTTTCACATGGGGAAACTGAAGCTGGGGGAGATTATGCAGGTTGTCAGCATACATACAAAGTAAGTAGTCTGGCCGGTTTTTTAATTCAGGCAGTGTGACCCCAGAGCTGGGGGGCTTGTCCAGGATGTGATAAAGATTCAAGTTATGTGTGTGGGAACTAGATGAGGCATCGTACTATCTTAATCTTAGTAGTTTAAAGAGAAAAACATCATCTTCTCCATAGATAGAAGGACATTTGATTATATTTTACATCCCTTTTTTTATAATTTAAAATCACTAAAATACAAATATTTTAATAAATACGATCACTTATTTTAAGTTTTTTCTAATTCTGAACTGCTTCCGTGAAATGAACCTTCTTTGCCCATGGTGTACTAGATCCTTGGTACTTAAAAAAATAGATTGTGGGTATTTTCCTCTTATACTGTTTTCCGGACCATTTTAAGAAGCATGTTCTTTCAGTGTTTCATTTCCTTATTTGAACCTTAGTGCTTTGCTTTTGTAAGATGTGTTAAAATTCTTTGCTTTCTTAAATTCTTCTATATAGGGACTGGTTTATTTTTTAATTTTCCAATTTATTACAGAGTTAAATTAATTTTTTTTCTTCTGTGTCTATGGCTGTGTGTTCTATTAATTTTGTTTTGTGTTTCTTAGACTAGCTAATGTTTTACCTATTAATTCTAAAGAGCTAATTCTTCAGTGTTTAATGTTTTCTAGTTCAGTTTCCACTTTCATCGTTGTGGATTCCTCACTCTACTAAAAGATTACTGATCTCCAAAGTGTCTTTTCTCCTTCAGGGATGTTACTTTAAGTGAAGGAAGTGAAGTAAGAAGTGAAAATTGCTTGTCTGTTGTGTAGGCTTCCTACTTCTATAAAATTGCAACACTAAAGTGTAATAGGTAGTTTCTTATATAGAAATTATTAAAATTTCAGAATATGGCTGTGGCTGACCTGTTACAGGTCATAGTTCTTCCTTCCTTAGTATTATGGTTTTGTCAAAAGGATCTTGAAAGAATTGTACTATGCAGTGCCTTTTTTAAAAAAATAAAATTTTCCAATATTTGCCATCTTCAGATGGTTCTTTGCTAATAACTTCTTATATACTACTAATACCACAAGATTGCTTACATTTGTCGTAATTTTCTACTTCAGGACCTTACCAGTTCATAATAAAATGAGTGGTTGGTGAATTTTAGTACCAATTAACATTTTAGTGCATTGAAACAAAAGTGAGGATATAAAACTAAGCTGTAGCCACCGTTAAATAATTAACACATTTATTGAAATGCTTCTTTTATGTTGGTATCATATGTTTTTTTCTTCTAAAATGTTTCTATTATTTAAGACTAAATTTAAGTGCTTGTCTTTCTTTGTAGGTATAAGCGAGTCTTTTCAGTGGGTACGCATGCGATAACTACATACAATCCCAATACTTTAGAAGTAACAAATCAGGTAGGTAATCCTTTGACAAGTTTATAAGTGTTTGTTTGAACTGCATTTGAATTTAAAAGCCATGATAAGACCCAGTAGTCCCTGATCTGAAATCAGTCCTTTAGGTTAGAAATGTCAAATCTGAAAGAGATTAAATTAGTTGTATAATGTTCAATAATTAGGACCAAAAATAAAACGGTGGGAAGGAATGTGCTTATTTCTAGGCTCTACGGGTTAAAACTTTTTGATATGTTACTATTGATTATAGTCATCTATTTTATGTAAAGTTGGTAAATTCTTTATAATTTTGAAGGCTATGTTGTTAACTAACACACGCATAGGTAAGTTAAGTCACAGTTGTTGGGAAATGCTTGTCATGGAAGTAGGATTACTCTTTAATAAAGGCAAGTCTAACCTGAACATGGATAAGTAAATATATTTAAATATAGATTATTTTAATTCAAATAGGCATGTTTTACAGAGCCTTTGTTTTGTTTTTTGTTTTTAACAGATTAGCAATTAATCATAAACTTTGATTTCCTCGTTCTTTTCATGTCTGTATTTCAGTTGTTTTGGTTAATGTCAGTTAAAATTGGAATGCAGATAAAAGATTTTTGTTTTTGCTGATGATGAAAAATATGAAATTTTTTTAAATAAAATTCTATACAGCATAGCTTCTAGACCTCCATATTATTTTGTAACAGTTTTCTCATTTAATAAATGATTGTGAGGGCCTCCCCGGTGGCGCAGCGGTTGAGCGCTGGGTTGCGAAGCTGCCCGCGGCCTCTAAGGCGCCGGTTCGATCCCCGGCTGCTCCCAGGCCACCGGCGGAGGATCCCACATGGCGCGCAGACCTCTCCTGCCGCCCGCTGCTCCCCTCAGCAGTGTACTTCGGTCCTTCTGCCTGCTCTGCTCCCCGCTCTGGCTCTGGTGAATTCTCTCACCCTCCCGCGCTTCTGACTGTACCCAGTGCATGTATAAACAAAAACAAACAAACAAAATAAATAAATAAAACATGCCTCTATTAAAAAAAAAAAAAAAAATAAATGATTGTGAAATTAATGTAGTAGAAATAAGCATTTCATTTCATGAAAGAATTCCTTTGTTCTTGTTAGTGGCCTTATGGAGACATTTGCAGCATCAGCCCTGTTGGAAAAGGACAAGGAACAGAGTTCAATCTCACATTTCGAAAAGGCAGTGGAAAAAAGTCGGAAACTTTAAAATTTTCTACAGAGCACAGAACAGAGCTCCTTACAGAAGCATTGGTAAGAATGGTCCCACATTAACTAATTTTCCTTCTTTTTGAAGGAAACAGTTACATTCAAGTATAAGGCCTCCATTTCCACTGTGCTTTTTTTTCTTATTGATCATTAACTTGACTCTGTGAAACTTTTACTTTTCTCTAACTGAAAAGATTGAAAAATCCCTTATATTGGGTAGTTTTTAGTCTTTAAATGCATTATATAGAATAAAGCAGTTGTGTGTTGAATTAATTTGTATAGTTTTTCAACAAAGCTTCACATGCTTTTTATTGAATGTCCTTAAATGGTAATATTTTTTGATATCAAGATTACTAAATTGGGATTTTACTTGCTTTGGATAGAGAAGATTGACCTGTGCATCTTCTATGCCAGTCTGTTGTCTTAAGTTGGGTTATATTTTCTCTTTCAGAGATTTAGAACTGATTTTTCAGAAGGAAAAATCACAGGAAGGGTAAGTATTTAACATTTATTAATATTTATTTTTATTTGTTCAAATGTTGCTCTGTATTGTAGAAATCATTCCATAGTCTATATACACAGACTTTTATGGCGAAAGCTAACGGAAAAAAAGGAAACAAAATTTAATGTTTACTGAAACCATGTGATAGAAAGGTGAACGTTGTTTAACGGATACTCAAATATGAGGAATTAACCATATGACTGTTAATGCTGATAGTTTGTGGGGGTTGGAGGGACCTTCATGCAGAACTATGAGGCATTAAAAACTCCTATAACATTTAGGTGATTCTTATCCAGTATTCTACAGAGCAACAATAAGCGTAATATTTCTGATAATAAATGTTAAAACATGTTTGGTGTAGGAGTTTCCTATTCCAGAACTCACTGGAGTTTAAGTTTAGGGCATATCAGAACTCTGTCTCATTACACGTTCTTGTGCAGGGTGTGATCAGTAATGAAGATATACATGGTACACTGACAGCTTTGAGGAAGTCACGGTTGCTTGTTAGAATCTTCTTCACTTTTCCAGGCCTTCTCTAGTTGTAGTTCAGTAGCCTTTAATCTGTAACAGAGAAGACTTCTGGGAGGGAAAATGGGAGTCTATATATTTTTTTAAAAGATTTATTTGTGCCTACAAGAACTGGGATACAGGCCATTAGTGTGTGTGTGGGGTTGGGGGAGAGGATGCACCAGAGACAGAGTGGGGAACAGAACAGGCAGATTGGTTGAAATACACTGCTGAAGGAAGCAGTGGGCAAGACAGGAGAGGTCTGCTATGCCATGTGGGTAGCTCCCTGGGCGGGGATTGAACTGGTGCTGCAATGGCTGCAGATTGCGTCTTAACCCCTTGCGCCACCAGGGAGGCCTGGGAGTTTATATTTTTTTCACTCCCTTGAAATGTGACATTTCTTTCCATGAGGAGATATTGCTTTCATACTGAAGTTGGGAGGAAGGGGCCAGAATAACGCCTAAACTCATAGCATTGTTCAGAACTCTGGCTCTGGCAAAGGCAGGAACTGAATTCTAATATTCTGGCAACAGCACCACTTCCCTGTCTTTTTAAAGCTCTGTCTTTGCTATGAATGTTCGCTTGCTTGTTTCAGCATCCCAGAAGTCTCACTGATCTCAACTCAAGCAATTGGCTGGTTGCCTAGGAACCATTTTAAAAAGTTTAATGGCAACTGGCGAACTGCTTCTCTTTCCTAATGAACCACGGTCAGATTTCTATAAATTATAACTTGTTATGCTTATTTTAATTATTTTATGTTAGTGGTGAGTTATCTGTATTTTTCATCTGTTTTGTTAAACAACTGCTTTAAAAAGCATACTGAGAAATTTCATTTATTAAGTTCCTTTTATATCAGTTAACTTCAGCTAATACTTTTTAAACTTTGTGGTGAAAGCATGTCTCTGGAAGATTGCATGAAGAATAGTTCACCTAATTTTACATCAGGAGTAAGTGGCGTTTGCACCTCACTATGAAAAAGTTCAGACCCAGCCTCCCCTAAATGCTCTGCTGGCTAAACACCTCTCTTATAGTAGTCGAATTTGGGACTGAGTCGAATCATCCTGGGGATGCTCTAAATTGGTGTTTCTCGAGTCGCTTTCTTGGCTCCACAGTCCTGAAAGATAAGGATGTGTTTCCACCAGCTCATCTCATTGACTGCTGGAACTCAGCTGGGAGGTTCCTGAGACTGTCCTGAAGAGTGGGGTGGGTGGAATGTAAGTAAAAATGGTTTTGAAAAGCACCACCATTTTTGTAGGCTGTCTTCTATCCCTGCTCTTGCTGAAGGGGTGTGGCACTGCTCCATCCTTAAGTTAAACTCAAGGCGCTAAGGATGCTTCTGGATTAAGGCAGGCTTTTATCTTGGTGCAGAATTCCTTTTATGGTCCCACAGTGTGCACAATGCCATTGATCAGTAATGCTGCGGGGACTTGAGGTGATACGATTCTGTGAACTCATCGCTGGGTTTAGCCTTGGAAATTGGTGAAGGGTTTATTGTTTAATTCCTTACTCTCTTTCTGAACACCTACAGGAGCATTTTTCTCTTATTTTAGAGTTAGAAATAGTCATATTCCTGAGCAACCAATATATTTTTATCTCAATCATGTAACTGATCATTTATGTTTACAGGTAGACGACTATAGGTTTTTCAGGTGGGGTTTTTTAAGACTATAGAGAGGGATGTTCATTTCACATTGGACACTGCTACTTTTATTTTCTCTTGGCTTCATTTTGTCATTATTTTAAATTAGTGTTTCAGCCGTGACTAATACTTTAAGTATAATTTTATTTTTTGGTGAGATTAAATATTATTTCTCTCTCTAGAGATACAACTGTTACAAGCATCATTGGAGTGATACAAGAAAACCTGTCATTTTGGAAGTAACGCCTGGAGGCTTTGACCAAATTAATCCTGCAACCAACAGAGTTCTCTGCTCCTATGACTATAGAAATATTGAAGGCTTTGTAGATCTCTCTGATTATCAAGGAGGGTTTTGTATACTTTATGGAGGATTTAGCAGATTGGTAAGTAGTGTTTGTTAAAAAGTCATTTAAAGGAACGTGACCATTTTCAGAAAAGCAGGGCTATTTTTCTACATTTTAAAAGTTTATGTGAGTCCTCGGGGAGGAAGGATGGTATTGAGAGTGCAGGCTTTGGTATCAAAGAGACCTGCACTTGATCCTGGTGTGAGCTCTACGATGACATTAATGTGTGTGCCATAGGTTTCTTCCCTGAGGATCAGGTGAGGTAATTTATACAGTGTTTCATCAGCACAGTGCATGGTTTAGTAGTGTTCAATGAGTGGTAGTTAACATTTGTTATTTTTGTTAGTATAAATGTCTCACCTGACAGTTTTTAAGCTTTCTGTGAAAAAAGTAATTTAAAATAGCATACATTTTATACACTGCTTTCCCTTGCCTGCTGTTGTAATCTGAAATCTGAGTAATCATTGAGTTCTCTAATTTGGAATTAAACAAACTGTTTTTGTCTTGGAAATTCTGAGTTATATGTAAATTGTGGGGTGCAGCAGAAGCAACGTAGGTATGCTGGACCCGGCTTGTATTTTTTTTTTTTTTTTTGGTGGGACCCTGGCCTGTGGCCGGGGATCAAACTGGAGCTGCAGAGGTTGTGGGCAGCCTCGCAACCCAGCGCTCAACTGCTGCGCCACCAGGGGAGGCCCGACCCTGCTTGTTAATTAGGTATAGAGGATGAGTATAGATGATGACCACCAATTTTTTTTTCCATAGTCCTGAATTAGTCCCCATGTCTCAAAGATGAGCAATAGAGCAGCTCAATTAAATTTTCAAGAATCATTTCTCTTGAGAATCTTAATTTCTCTGGCAACCTTAGTGACCTGGGAATTCTACTTCAAGTTTTAGTGTTTTGTAGATAAATAAGCTCTGGGTAATAAAGCCAGAGCCAGAGCAATTTTTTAGATACACAGCAGAGGGTAATGAGGGAATGATGGAAGACTGAACAATGTGGTTAACAAAATCTTTTAGCTCTTTAGAGGTGAAAGCCTTTTTCCACTCTAGGTCTCACTCTTTACCCAGTCGATAGGCACCATCCTAGTGTCCCTCACCTAGGAATACATATGGAGACTTTTTGTTACCTGAGGCTAGACCCAAAGGGAAAATTAGTTCTGTCTCCTATCTTTTTTTTTTTTTTTTTTTTTAAGATTTATTTATTCACACATACAAGAACTGGGGTACAGGCCAGAGTTGTGGGTGGTGAGAGGATTCACCAGAGACAGAGTGGGGAACAGAACAGGCAGATCGACTGAAATACACTGCTGAGGGGAGCGGCAGGTGAGTCAGGAGAGGTCTGCTGTACCATGTGGGTTGCTCCCTGGCTGGGGATCGAACTCGTGCTGCAGTGACTATGGTGCGCTTCACCGGTTGCATCTTAACCCCTTGCGCCACCAGGGAGGCCTTCTGTCTCCTATCTTAAAGCAGACTGCAGCCTGCTGTCTTAGTGCTATCCAAAGACTTGTTTCTTTCCTGGTCAATGGGAAATTGTAGTGATTAACCTCTTGGTGAAAAAACATATTTAATTACAGGACTATGGCCTTGCAGACCTTAACAGGATAACTGTATCACAGTAATTTCATGAAGCCATGTAGTGCTTAAGGTAGATATCAAGGAAGAGAATTATTTGAGACTCCTCAGTTTCCAACATTTTTACTGTTTGATGATATCAAGCAGTTTTAACTTGAATCATCTACTTTCTTTTTCTTTTTCTTTTTTTTTTTAAGATTTATTTATTTATTTATTTATACAAGCACTGGGTACAGTCAGAAGTGCGGGAGGGTGAGAGGGTGAGAGAATTCACCAGAGCCAGAGCAGGGAGCAGAGCAGGCAGAAGGACCGAAGTACACTGCTGAGGGGAGCAGCGGGCGGCAGGAGAGGTCTGCGCGCCATGTGGGACCCTCTTCCAGTGGCCGGGGAGCAGCCGGGGATCGAACCGGCGCTGCAGAGGCTGCTGGCAGCTTCGCAACCCAGCGCTCAACCGCTGCGCCACCAGGGAGGCCCCTGAATCATCTACTTTCTAAGCATGCTTTCTGCCTTTTAAAAGACATGCTCTACAGTGGATTAATTCACTAAAATGTGATACCATGACAGAGTCATTCAGCAAACCATCTGGTACCTTCTGCATCCATAGTGACAGATAAGCTGCTGTGAATAAAATCAGGCTCTTAAACATGTCTCAATTCAGTGTTTCTCAGCTGGGGCACCATTGGCATTCAGGACAGGACACTGCTTCCCTATGGAGGACTTGCCTCCAGACCTTTTGTAGGGCATTTAGCTTTTTTTGCCTCCAGGTACCAAATACAAGTAGCAGTACCTTATCCTTACTTTATAAATACACCGCTAGAGGTTGCTTCTTAACATTGATAACTCCATGACTTGTACACATTTAAATATTCTAGGTAATCTGCAAGGAAGTCCATTTCCTTAAACAGATTAAATCAAAGCTATTTTAGTTGAAATTGGAATCCTGCCCATAGTTACCCCCACCCTCACTAGACTTGGCTAAGGCCCCTGGGTCCCCTTATAGGAGCCTTGGGGTACTGCTTCCACATGGTGATGAGAATCAGATTCAGAGGTTATGTGATAATTTCCTTTCAGTGAATTATTTGCATGGCTGTACATCCCAGACTTTGTGATTTTATTGATTGATTGATTGATTGATTGCCACATGGGCCTTATAGACATCACCTCAAGGAGACACCCACTTATCCCTGATCAGACTTTCTTCCTATATTTCCTGGGGATGGAGTATGCTACCATATCACTCCCTTACTTTGTGATTTTAATTAATGTTTTAACTATAGCATTACTTATTTACATCTGATAAGATCTACCTTTTTTCTCTAGAATTGCTACTTCAGTTTTTTTGTCTAAAGAACTGATTCATTATGGTCACATTTTAGTTGTTTCAATCCTGATTTTTTAACTTTCAAAATTTGTGCAGCATTTATTTGCATCAGAGCAAAGAGAAGAAATTATCAAAAGTGCAATAGATCATGCTGGCAACTACATAGGTATTTCATTGCGGATAAGAAAAGAACCATTAGAATTTGAGCAATATTTGAATCTTCGCTTTGGAAAATACAGCACTGATGAATCCATCACCTCTTTAGCAGAGTTTATAGTCCAAAAAATATCACCCAGACACTCGGTAAGACCTGTATATAAAAAGTAAAAATTTGTTGGTTTAATTTTGACATTTTTCTTTAATAGCTTCTTAATATGTCTCAATTTTATTCTTTTGAAGGAACCTGTAAAAAGAGTTCTAGCACTTACAGAAACGTGTTTGGTAGAACGTGATCCAGCAACTTACAATATTGCAACATTGAAGCCTTTAGGAGAAGTAAGTTTCAATAGTATTAACCTAAATGAGATTTCTTCCTGTTGCTCAATCTGGTATCCATGGGGGATCAGTTCTCAGGATGAGTTCCAGAACCCATGAGGTCACCCAAATTTGTGGATGCATGGGTCCTATATATAAAATGTCATGGCATTTGCATATAACTGTTACACATTTCCCATATGCTTTAAATCAGCTCTGTTACTTATAGTACCTAATACAATGTGGGTGCTATATAAATAGTTGTTATGCTGTTTTCTTTAAGATACAATGACAAGAAATAAGTCTGTGCATGTTCACTGCAGAGGCATACCATTGTAGGCCTAACCGTTGTGTGTATTTTCCATGCGTAGCTGGTTGAATCTGCACTTGTGATATCCAAGGATACAGAGGGCTGACTAAATTATTCTATTTCACTTTTTTTTTTTGCCCAAAGACTGGGAAACAGGAAGAATCTATTTAATTCTTTGCAGTGTTATAACTGTTGTGTGTATTTTCCATGTGTAGTTGGTTGAATCTGCACTTGTGGAATCCAAGGATACAGAGGGCTGACTATATTTTTCTATTTTACTTTTTTTTTTTTGCCTAAAGAATGGGAAACAGGAAGAATGTATTTATTTCTTTACAATGTTATATTTGTTGCTCTTAGAACAAAGAATATTGCAGCACTTACTTTCCAAGTATACTGTGAGTGTAACATTTTATGTAATAATTATATGAAAATCTAAATGAGACTTTTGAACAGCTTTTATTTTTTTTTTTTTAATTTTTTAATTTTTTTAAAGATTTATTTATTTATACAAGCACTGGGTACAGTCAGAAGGGCAGGAGGGTGAGAGAATTCACCAGAGCCAGAGCAGGGAGCAGAGCAGGCAGAAGGACCGAAGCACACTGCTGAGGAGAGCAGCAGGCAGCAGGAGAGGTCTGAGCGCCATGTGGGACCCTCCTCTGGGGAGCAGCCGGGATCAAACCGGCTCTGCAGAGGCTGCGGGCTGACGCGCCACCGGGGAGGCCCCTTGAACAGCTTTTAAATTCTGATACTATGAACAAGTTACTATTTAAAATACTGCCTTTGTAGCTGCTCTCCTGCCCTCAGTAATTATGCAGGTGCTTCTCTTTTTCTTTCTCCTTTTCCTAATAAATATGTCCTTTTAAAATATAAAAATAGGGGCCTCCCCGGTGGCGCAGCGGTTGAGCGCTGGGTTGCGAAGCTGCCCGCGGCCTCTGCGGCGCTGCTTCGATCCCCGGCTGCTCCCCGGCCACCAGAGGAGGGTCCCACATGGTGCGCAGACCTCTCCTGCCGCCCGCTGCTCCCCTCAGCAGTGTACTTCAGTCCTTCTGCCTGCTCTGCTCCCCACTCTGGCTCTGGTGAATTCTCTCACCCTCCTGCGCTTCTGACTGTACCCAGTGCATGTATAAACAAAACCAAACAAATAAAATAAATAAATAAATAAATAAATAAATAAAATATAAAAATAAAGAAGTAAGCTGTTTACAAGCTGTATGATGATGTGTAGTTTTTCTAATGAAATATGTAAAACTAAACTCTTGTTGAACTTGTTTTTCTGTTTTCTTCAGGTATTTGCATTGGTTTGTGACTCAGAAAATCCTCAAGTTTTTACCATTGAATTTATAAAAGGGCAAATACGTAAATATTCTTCAACGGAGAGGTATTTTTTTTTTAATACATAAAAAAGTTGTTGAGATCCTAGTAATTGCAAAGCCAAAATAATCCGAGGAAGATGAAAAACAAAGATTTATAAGCTAGAACTTTGTAATTATGTAACCTAGGATATGACAATATTGTTTTGTTATTTAAAGTGACCTTCATTCAGTTTTCAAATTCCTAAGAATATAAATGGTAATTTGATTTTTAAATGAAATGATGAAAATAGAGCATACTTTTGTAACTTCAAAAATATTTTGATTTCAAAATATTCAAAAATATTTTGCCTTTCACTTTTCATTATTACACTGTTTGGGTAACAGCAGAAAGCTATTTACTATAAATAAAAATGAATTTAGATTTTTATAAGTTAGTATCATAAGCTAGTTACTGATTTTCCAGTAGAATGTGCTTGCATATTATCATTACTGTGACTTGGCTGTTACCTCAGTGAGGAGCTATGGCTCGCAGACTTCCCGCTGTAAGGTAAACACAATGCTATTTAACTATATAGTCAGATCATTCTTCAAATACTAAATCATTGTCCTGGGTTTGGCAGTTCTTACATTCCAGATAGTCCTTTTATGCTGTTTTATATAGATTGAGACTGGAATCTGTTCTTAAAAGTTAGTGAAGACAATCTGGTACATTTGCCACTGTCTACATTATAACCTTACCTCGTAAATATGACCAGTAACTTTCTTATCTTAGAAAGCTTTTGATCCTAAAGTCAACAAAAAATGGCATCTCGGGCAAAAGGTTTTGTTTTTCCTGTTATGAATTTGAGGAAGAGACCTTCTAAAAAAAAAAAAACAGTGCAGATGTTCTAATCTGAGGAAGAATCTTGACACTTAGTTTCTTATGTGCTTTATTGTTTAATTCTGTTGGTAGCCCTAGGAGAAGGTACCTTTATTTCCAGTAAAGCTTGCTTGCAGAAAATAAAGCCATTTCTTTGGAACTTTGGATTAGAAAAAAGGTTTTTTAGATCTAATACCAAAGGTACAGTCATTTAAAAAAAATGATTTATTGGACTTTGTGAAAATCTAAAACGTTAAGAGAAAGACAAGCTACAGAGAAGGAGAAAATATTTGGAAAACATGTAACTGATAAGGGACTTGTATCTAGAATACATAAAGAACCCCCCACATGCATAGCTTTTTCCATTCTCAGCATCCCCCACAAGAATGGTATGTTTGTTAGAATTGATGAGCCTGCATTGACATGTTATCAACCAAACCCCACTTGAGACAAATGTATAATGACATGTACTCATCATTATAATATCATAGTTTCACTGCCCTAGAAATCCTCTGTTCTAACCCCCCCCGCCCCCCCATTCCCAGACCTTGGGAACCACTGATTTTTTTACTGTCTCCAAGGTTTTGCCTTTTCCACGCGATAGATAATTGGAATCTTACTTTTCAAACTAATTGTGTTTCCTCCAGTTCTTTCTTGGCTTGACAGATCTTTTCTTTGAGTTATAATTGACACATAATATATTAGGTGTACAACATAACAATCCAATGTTTGTGCACATTGCAAAATTATCACAATAATTCTAACACCTATTACCTTACATAGTTACCAAAAGTGTTTTTCTTATGATGAGAAATCTAAGACCCTCTCTCTTAGAAATTTTAAAATGTGGAATACAGTGTTATTAACGATAATCATCACGCTATATGTTACATCCCCAGGACTTAGAGAGCTCATTTATGTTTATCATTTAGTATATTCCATTGTCTGGATCTTATCCATTTGCCTGCCGAAGGACATGCTGGTTGCTTCCAAGTTTGAGCTTTATGAATAAAGCCACAAAATTGCTGTGTGTTGGCTTTATGTGAACATAGACTCAAGTCCTTCAGGTAAATACTAAGGAGTGTGATTATTGACATATGTTAAGAGGATGTTTCATTTTGTAAGAAACCACCAAACTGTCTTCCAAAAGCAAATGTACCATTTCGCATTTGTTCCAATAAATACCGAGAGTTCTTGTTGCTCCACATCCTCACCAGCATTTGGTAGTGTCAGTTTCCCAGATTTTGCTCGTTCTAATAGTAATGCTCTATTGTAGTGGTAACTTTTTTTGTTTGTATTTCCTTGATGATCTGTGAAGTGTACTATCTTTTTATGTGCTTATTTGCCATCTATATGTCTGATTTGGTGAGATGTCTGTTAAGGACTTTGAATCGTTTTGTAAATGGGTTTTTCTTATTGTTGAATCTTAAGAATTCTTTATATATTTTGGATGACACTTCTTTGTCAGATGTCTTTTGTAGATATTTTCTCCTAGTCTGTGGCTTGTTTTTTCACTCTTTTGATGAAGTTTCTTGGAAAAGCAAAACTATAGTGAGTGAAAGAATATAAGCATTGCCTGGGGCTGGGGAATTTTTTTCCAAATAGCTACAAAGAAAGTCTTTGGGGTGATAGAAGTATATGTATTGTGGTGATGATTGCACAGTTCTATCAATTTACTAAAAAATTATAACACTATGTACTTTCAATGGGTGAATTTTGTGATTGTAAGTTATACCTCAATCTCTATAAAACTGTTAAAATAATCTTAAAATTTAAAAACCCAGAAAAATGTTAAAGCTCTAGTACCTAGGTAACTTGTACAAGGTCATATGGCAGCAAAGTGAAGAGTGAGTATAGAAAACTAGGCTCTCTCTGAAATTCCCTCTTCTTGCGTGCTTCCCCTGTCCCCAGGGAATGAGAGTGCCTGCTAAAGGACTGTGCTGTATTCTGAATCAAACCCCTTGTGAATTTTTATCATTCCTAAAACCTTTTTATTTTCAAACTTGCTTAGGGATTCCTTATTAGCTAGTTTGCTGGACGGAGTAAGAGCCTCCGGTAATAGAGATGTTTGTGTGAAAATGACACCGACCCATAAAGGTCAGCGATGGGGCCTTCTCAGCATGCCTGTTGATGAGGAAGTAGAGAGCCTGCATCTCAGGTTCCTCGCTACACCTCCAAGTAAGTATCGACCTGAATGTAGTTTTGTTTTCATCTGTCCTTTTAAGAATTAGAACACAAACCTCTAAATCTTTTTGAACATTTTTATCTCCTTGCAGATGGCAATTTTGCAGATGCCGTATTCAGGTTCAATGCTAATATTTCATACAGTGGAGTTCTGCATGCAGTGACACAAGATGTAAGACAGATCGTGTCATACTTTGTTACTACTAACTTTTGGTGTGGAAACTTTTTTGAAATATTCTTTCTTTACCTAGGGTCTCTTCTCAGAAAACAAAGAAAAGCTGATCAATAATGCAATAACAGCATTATTGTCCCAAGAGGGAGAAGTTGTTGCTTCAAATGCAGAACTTGAGAGTCAGTTCCAGGCTGTGAGGAGGCTTGTTGCTTCCAAGGCTGGCTTTCTAGCCTTTACTCAGCTTCCAAGGTAAGTTGTCTTCTAAAACCTCTTTTTTAGGGAATTTAAGCAACTCAAAATAGTAAATAATCAACCACTTACCACTTTATATGACCACACCTTATACCTTTTATATGGTGATAACGGCAATTTTTATTCATGAGAAATTAAAAAGGACAAGTGGAGTTGAATTGGAGTGTGGTCCCATACATGCTCATGGTATTACTCTTTCCTGTTAGCTTTATTTAACTTAATAAAAACATCTTTACCCTGAAAGAAAAAAGCTGTTATAAAACTGATGTTCCAGAGGTGGGATTCAAAATATGTAATTTCTGTAATAATGCAATGGAAACTTAAGGTAACTTATCATGTTCTATTAAAACAATGTAATAAATAATGGTCTGATGTTCCTATTATCTGCTTGTGGTTCTTTGTTCTGCCAGGTTTCGGGAGCGTCTCGGTGTGAAGGTGGTGAAAGCACTCAAGAGAAGCAACAATGGGGTCATCCACGCAGCTGTCGACATGCTCTGTGCCCTCATGTGTGTAAGTGGCTTTGCTCTTAAGGAAACTGGGCTTTCTTAAGTGAACAGATGGTTTACATTTCCACAAACCCAGATGTACATTGTACCAGTGGAGTTCGTTTTTCTCTATTTTCTGAATTGCTCCCATAGCTATTTATTTATTGCACTAAACATTTGTTTAGCACATCCTATTAACCAAGATCTGTACTAGACACTAGAAATACAAAGATGTTCATGAAAGTTCCTTCATGAAATTGCTGATAGTCTTGTGGGCTTATGTGTATAATATAAAATAGTGGGATCCATGGGATCCCTAAAACAGCATTTCATTTTGGTTTTGTGGTGAGAAGATAGAAAATTCTAGACCAAACTTTCTGGAAGGCCTTCTACTTGATCTGAACTTTGATGGACAGGCCTTCAAGATCCCCTGCCTTTGGGGAGGCTTTCCTAGGTGTGGGGTTAGCATACACCTATGCATATTTGGGAAGCAGCAACTAATTAAATGTAGTTGGATAATAAGGTTGGATAATGAGAGTGTGTGGGATTAGGAGATACAGCTAGAGGTGTATGCAAAGACAGTCATAAAAGCATTTTGTATTAGACAAAGGAAGCAGATTTATATCCATTAGTAAGGAACGACTGGAAGATTTTTTTTTTTAACGGGAGCAGTAACATGCTATGCTTAAAGTTTAGAAAGCTCATGGGTACTATGTGGACAATACATTAGAAGTAAAATTAGGTGTAGGTAGACCAAGTAAAAAATGAGATGGAGAGGTAGGACAGTGATAAGAATTCAGAAAGGCAAGGCACAATTGAAAGCTGTTTGAGAGGTTAAGATCTGACTTGGTGACAGCACATATGGGAGAGAGGCAGTTATTCAGTATTCAATGTTATTTTGACATTGCTGATTTGCCTCAGTTTTGTGTATAGTTTTGGGGCTTTTTTCCTTATACAGATCTTCCTTGACCTATGGTGGGGTTACATCCTGATAAATCTATTGTAAACTGAAAATACTGATAAGTCAAAAATTTATTTATACATTTAGTACACCTTCCCTGCAGATGTCATACCTTAGCCTTGCCTTACATGTGCTCAGAACAGTTTTATTGTCCCATCGAATGTGCCACGTATCTCATGTAGTTGATTGAATGACTTGCACAACTTAATTGGAGCTGTTGCTAGGTGCTGCTGCCCAACATCATGAAAGAGTATCTTTTCTGCTACCTTGGAAAAGGTCAAAATACAGAATTCTAGGTACAGTTTCTACTGAATATCCACTGCTGTTCACACCATTTGTAAAGTTGAAAAATTGGAAATGAATCCACTTATATGTCAGGGACCATCTGTGCAAAGTGTTTTAGGCAGCCTTAGTGATACAGAATAAACCTAAGTAACCACTTGCTACAACTTCGCATTTATTCCCAAAAGTAAATTCAAGAAATTCCATTTTTACTGCTCTAAATAATTCCATTGAAAGAATTAATGCTGTTAAAAAATTCAACTGTATAAATTTTAAAGATCTTACTGGCTTTATTCAATGGTTCTTGAATTGCAAAGAAAGGCGCTCCCAGGAGCTGTCCAGAGTGAAAGACTTCTAAACTAGGCAGAGGGAGTGGGAACAAGGATATTGCACTAGTAGAAGGCAGAGTGGTTACAGCAAGGCCACTTTCCTTTAGGGGAGAAGGCAGGGATGTTTGGCAGATTACCGAGTCAGTGCTGATCAAGCGATTCCTGATTTACTGGTTTAAGATTCCATTTCTGGAATAGCCAGAACAGTAATTGAGTCTCGGTTTGGGGCTTAACATAAGCAACCCCATTTTGGACCTATTGTCTTGTTTTAACAGTTGACACATAACTAGAACATACAATAACAACAGTGAAGCAATCGCACCTGTAACCTCTTATCAGATTTTGGCTATGTATTTTACAAGAACTGTCTCATTTAGCTTTGTAACTGTAAGAAAAGTACTGTCATTCCCACTTTACAACTGAGGAAAATGAGACTTTGAGAATTTAAGTGCTATAACCTTGACAGAGGTCAACAATTCTTAGCAGAATTAGGATTTAAACTTCATTCTTAATCCTCATACTGGCATCCCTTTTTGCTGGGCACATTAACTCTGAAGTCTCATCACACCCAAGGAAATCACTTCTTCCTGCTTGTCTTATCACGAGTTTCCTTTTTGCCTTAAACTTGGAAGGTGGGGTTTTAATTCTGTTAGTGTTCATGAACACTCTTTATGAATGACTTTGTGTGGGGCCAGCATGTGGGATGCCTCACAAATTATCACTGTTTTTAATCAATAGCCCATGCATGATGACTATGACTTAAGACAAGAACAGCTAAACAAAGCTTCTCTTCTCTCTTCAAAGAAGTTTCTGGAAAACTTACTGGAGAAATTTAATTCCCATGTGGTAAGATATAATTAAATGTATTCATATTGTTATTAAAAGGTGTTCAGAAAGTCCAACATTACTTTTTTTCACCCCAACTTTGGTTAGTATTGGCCCAGCTTGATGCGAGTAATTAAATACTCTTTTTTAGGACTATATCTATTTGTCTAGGGAGGATAAGTTGTAGAGCCCTAGATTTTTATAGTGATATTTTCTGATTTTTGCTGTTTTTCTCTTACTTTAAAAACTTTCATTATAAACTAATCTCTTAAAAAATTGAGCCAGAATTTTGCTGGTTGTTCGTTGGTAACAGTTTGGAGATGGGCAAATTGATAACATCTAGAAGGTACGTGTATATATTGCCAGTGTTCTGCAAGTATTGTTAAAGATTGCTTTTTATACAAATGCACATTTAGTTATATGCTTGAGGATTTTTGGCTATTCTCTTGAAATTTGGCTGATTTTCAGTTCTGTTTCTGCAAGGTATTTGAGCAGTGATTTTATTATATTATAACAGGTGCCACATAATGTCATCAGACAAAGAGCCCCAAACAAGAATGTTTGCTTGTTACATAGAGAATAGCCGAAAGGACACATAATTATTAGGTTCTCAGTGAAACTCTCTGTGCTAAGTCAGGCCTATGTTACTTTGTTTCAGGATCATGGGACAGGAGCCCTGGTCATTAGTTCACTCTTGGACTTCCTTACTTTTGCCCTCTGTGCTCCATACAGTGAGACAACAGAAGGGCAGCAGTTTGATATGCTCTTAGAGATGGTAGCCTCCAATGGAAGAACACTCTTTAAACTCTTTCAGGTGAGAACTTGTGTTTTTCTTATCAGATAACTAAGAGAACTGCTTTTGGGGTCAGTTTGTCTTTCAAATGATGTACGTGTGCTTCTGGATAAATGCTGATAAGTAAGTATAGCCTAGAACATTATCAAGTTAGTGCATGACATCCCACAGATTTCTTAGTATTTCATGTAGAGCTGTTGATTCCTTGTGACCATTGTTTTGACTCCTTTGCCCAAATAATAAGATGTGCTTTAGCAGGACCATCTGTAAACAGTGGGAAGCATTTGTTTTTTTCTACAGTACTATAGTATTTACTATGTACATGATATTTATGTATTTGTTGTTATTAATTTGTATTAAAAATAGAAGTTATTTTTAAATCACTGCTGTTTGATATGTATCATTCGTAAGTATAATATATATTATTCAAATAAGTGGCAGCTGTTTCCCACTAATGTTAACTCTGGTTTAAGTATATAAAGATACATTGTAAGAATACCTAAAATACTTAACCAAATTCAATCTGACATTGAAATGTATCTTTAATAATTTTATGGCTTATACCTTGCATAAAATTGTATATCTTTCTGAAGATAGCAGCTAAATTCATTGAATGAAATTGTTTTATTCTGTGATTTCCCAATTTTCTTCTCCCCTCCCCATTTTAAAGCATCCTTCCATGGCAATTATAAAGGGAGCTGGATTGGTTATGAAGGCAATAATAGAGGTGAGAGAACAATTTTGAATTTTAAACTTGAACGATTTAGTCTTTTATGGGAAACTTGCAATTTTTCTGGGTAAAAAAGTAATTTTCAGTTTTTATGTAGAAATTAGTTTTAATCTATTTGTAAAAATAATCCACAATAATAAAATTTGACTTTAAGATTCTTAAATGGGCTTAGAGTAAATATATGTGTGTCTACATTTTTTTGTTCTTTTAAAAGAATTAACAGTTGGCATTTCTCAATCTTTTTTGAGGGAGTAGTGATGACAATATTAAAAACTTTAGATACTGAGGTTACGTAGAGACCTATTAATGGAGTTAGTTCAGAGCATAGTGGTACCAACAAAGAATGATAACAAAAAATTAGTTTCTCAGGCTAACGTACATTTGTAGTTAAGCTCTAGGGATCAGAACACATGATATTGTCAGACGCACAATATTGCTTCTGCAAGGTAGTTGCTTTAGCCTTGATTTTTTAGATAATGAAATCATGCGTGTGAATGTCAGCTTGCATATACTGGATGTTCACGACATCTATCTAAATGGCTTTTGAATTTTGTATTCTTTTATTGTCAGCAATAATTTTGATAAAATGTAAGAGTACCCCTTTTATCAAAAAAACTCGATCATTATGGCTTAAAAATATTACACATAAGTAATAAACAGAATTAGTACACTTTTAATTAACTGTTGAAATTATATATAGGCATTAAACTGGTTGGAACCTCAAAGTTTATGTACACTAATAGTGTGTATATACAACTATGAGCTAATTTTCCCCTCTAGCTAATGGGTACTATGTTTAATTTTAGCTTTCATTGTAAATACTGTATCTCTCACTTTACAGAGCTTGAAGTAGCCAAGGACAGTTAGGATAAAGAGACCAAACAGAAGTGTATTCCTGACTCTGATTTATCAATATGTTGCCATTCAATCAGAAAAATTTGAATGCCAGCTGTAATCTAAATGTTGACTTTTGACTTAAGTATAAGCCACACACACCAGATTCCTAGTCAGTGACTAGAAGATTATTTTCTCTGAAGTCCTGGCAGGCAGGAGTCTTATTCTCTTCTGATTGTTTAAAAGCAGCTTATGATCTTTGAAGTAACATTGGGACATACAAGAAAAAAAAAAAGCAAGGAATAAAACAAATCACCTGTGTTTTTACCATCCAGAGATAACTGCTATTAGCATTTTGGTAAAATTCCTTTCAGACCTTGTGGTGTTTAAAATGACATATGTACATATCCATACTGTGTATATATTCGTTTACATGCTACATATTCATCTGTCAAGATGACATATGTAACATACTCATACTACATGCATATTTGTATAAATACTACATATTCAGTTGTAGTATATATTTGTGCATTTTTTCACTAACATTGTGGGCTTTCACGTTTTGACAGGTGGTTTTAAATATCACACTGCTTATTTAGTTCATAATTCTGTGACTAGCTTTAATTAGTAGTTCCTTCTTATCCTGTTGCCAAAGTGAGTCCTTATAAGCAAAATGAGATCAGAATAAAAAGAACTACCTCTCTATCACATTTTTTAAAAAGTGAAGAATTGTGTTCACCATCAGATGAACATATTGTTAAAAACAAAAGCAAGTCACATTTGTGAACACCTATGGTAGGAACTGCTGATTTCCCTGAGTCACTTCTCCCTTTGGTTAGTTGATATATACTCAAGAGTTGATATATACTCAAGAGTATGAACTTAATTTTAATAATAAATTCAGCAAAACTTAATTTATAAATGTATCTGGAAACATTTTAACTTCATTCCAAAGAAACCATATTATAAAAATTGCTTTACTACTAACTTACCTTTGTTATTTTTGGGTAATTAAGATCGCATTTTAAATTTTTATTGTATACTGACTAGTTTATCTAGAAATGTAAACTAAGCTTTACAAAATTAGGATAGCTTGCTAGATTGCTGCTCTAGGGATCATCTTACCCTTTTTCCAAAGGAAGGTGACAAAGAAATTGCTACAAAAATGCAGGAGCTTGCCCTAAGTGAAGGTGCCTTACCTCGACACTTGCATACTTCGATGTTTACAATAAGCTCAGATCAAAGGATGCTTACAAATAGGTAGGTTAAATTTAATTTACTATCAATTAACTTGCTGTTTAGAGAATGGATTCAGATATTATATTAAACAAACTGAGTAGGTGGTGTTTGGATTATATAAATGTTTCATTTTCTTTTGAGTTACCCAGTTCTCCTTTTACTTTCCTTAAAGAAGGAATGTGTTCAGATGATCATTGAACCTGCCACTGGCTAACCTGGGAGGGATAGAAAGTGTGTTTACTTTTCCCCCAATATCTGATTGTTATGCTCTACACCCATAGTCATAGAACTGGAACATGTAAAGAGGGTCTAAAATTTTTGGAACTACAATCATGTGCCCAGGCCTTTTCTCCTTGTGTTTCCTTCTGGCCATGTTGCATGCAGATGACCCCTTGCAAAACCCTGCACAATTTTTAGATGTCTTGGTCAGTTAGGTACACTCTACTTGAGTAATAATGAAAACCTACTACCTAACCAGCCTCTCCTAAATCTCTTATAGTTAAATAATTTGTATTTTAGCAAATCATCATCTTTTTTCTAATAATCATTCAACTATAAGAAAGACATAAGTCTGTTCATTTATTCCAGGCTGCATGAATTCCAACTCTTTTAACCTTTCTTTATGATTCCTGCCCTGTGGCCCTTTCACATATCCTTAGCATACTGCGTTATGACTTATGAGTCATAATGCTTTAAAAGAGTATCATAAATATGTTTAATCGTGCTCTTTTTGACTTTTTAAATAATAATATAAATTTCTGACTTAAGTATACTTTATGATACTTTATCACCTCTGTCCAGTTATTAGATGTAGCAGTGTGTTGTCTTGCCAATGGTTTTCCGCTGTTTATGCTATTACAGGAAACTATATGCATCCCTCACTTGTAAATGTTAGCTCACAGGAGTAATCAGTTGCCTGAGAGGACAAAAAGATAAAAAAGGGAGATTATTTTGTTGGTGTGCTGCCTTACTAGCAATGCTGGACACCATCTTTCATTACAGTAGAGATAATTTGATGTCTTCTTGCATTAAATTACCATGTTAGAAGTTTGTTTGTGTTCCTCTTTATTATAATCAATTACATTCCCTACTGTGATTAGTTGAAGTACTGAAAAACTGTCAGTTTGTCATATCGTGGCATATAGGCCACTTTCCATCTGCATTGCTTTATCTTTTACAAATTGCTACTATAAATTGTTATCTCCTTTATCCCTGATTAAAACCATTTTAGGAATCGATGATATAGTAACTATCAAATACCAGTGAAGGAAATTATAAGTTTAATGACTTTAATGTTAGCTTTCAGATAGGCACAGGAATAAACAGTGGAGTGTTTTTTGGGTTTTTTTTTTGTTTGTTTGTTTGTTTTTTTGTTTTTTTTTTTTTTGGTGAAAGAATAAAATACAATTTGGGTTTTTCTATTAAATTGTTTTTCTTTTGGCACTGTAACATGTGCAAAAACATATTCCTGCAGGTGATTATTTGGTTATTTCCTTTATAGGTTTTATGCCCATTCTTACAACAAAGGACAATTGAATTATGAGTTTAGAAGGGTTAATGCTGAATAAAATGTATTCCCCTCTCATCAGGTGGAATACATGGTAAACAGGTGTCAGTTTAAGATTAAGATTAATAAATGATGAAGATATACATTCAGTATGGATCTTAGATTTTCTTTTAGAACCAAATAGAGCTTATTTTCACTTCTTATTTAAATCAATAAAATAATTAGCTTTATATCCTATGTCCGAATTCCAGCGCTCATAATATTTTCTCTCTTTGACCTTGGCAAAAAGTTATATATTATGACATAGTTGTTGAATTTGCTCGTATTCAGAATCACAAGGAATGCCAAGATGCTTTAATTGATCTATCAGGACTTGTTATGCAAAACCAACATCAAGTTTAATTTATTTTAAATTTAAATTACCTTTAAATGGGATAGCAGCCTATTCATGTTCAAGTCCATTGAAAATTAGTAAGTTAGGACAGCATTTTAATTTGTTGAAAATTCTAATTTCCTAATTAATGGTAATTCTAATATTAGAGGTACTATCTCATGTCTTTCTGCACTAAAATATTAATTTTTAGTATTTAACATCAGAATGATTCATTTTTTGCTATAGTCATATTTCTTATATGATATTTTGTTCTGAAAAATTCCTTTCTGTTCTAGCTGAGATAAAGCAGCATACCTTTCTCAACGTCTGCTTTTTTCAGACAGCTAAGTAGACATTTAGTGGGACTCTGGACAGCTGATAATGCAACTGCAGCAAACTTGTTGAAACGCATTTTGGTAAGTCAGTTGAATCACTGAAATTGCATAAAATTGCATAAAGTAAGTTATTTATACTGTTAAAGGGCTTTTTAAATTTGTTTTTAATTTAGAAGATATTTATAGAAGTTGCCTTATAATAAATGCTAAGCCTCTATAGCTAAACCTTATTTAGCTATTAATTTATTTGGGTTTTGAAGGCTAACTTTTGCACCATTGTTTTAAAGGTGGATTTTGTATTTTGTTTTCATTTCTTGTTTTTAGCCACCAGGATTGCTGGCATACTTGGACAGCTCAGATCCAGTTCCTGAGAAAGATGCTGATCGGATGCATGTTAGAGATAATGTGAAAATAGCAATGGTAAGTATGATGGTCGTTGGTGTCTTTCAGGTTGAAGAGAGCATTATTTTCTGAAACGTTATAAAAATTTTAGAAATAAACCAAAAATGCACTGTATTGAAAAGTAGCACTTTTATGTTATTATCAGCTTTATTGAGGTCAAATTTATATCCTGTAAAACTCATTTGGTTTGCCTGTAGAATTCAATTATTTTTAATATATTTTCAAATTTGTGCAACTCTTAACCATAATCTAGTAAGTAGTAGAAATCTTGTGTGTTTGTTTCTCTAAACTAAGCTTATTTGCACATTCAGGAATGGATTTCTAGAAAAAAATCTTCAATTGTATAATGTGATGGCATGTAATATGAAATGAATAATTGTGTGTCAAAGAGGCCAACTAAAAGAATGAACTTAGAGATGACTTTTTTTCCCTACAAGAGCTATTTTAATGATTATGACTGGGCTATCTCTGAGAAAACTACTTAAACATCTTTCAAGATACGCTTTCATCCTAATGTTTTGTTTTGCATGTGTGTCCCGTTTCTTTATCTGTATCCATCTCCCACTTGCATCTAGCCATTCCTCTAAAAGGAATCATCTTGAAACTAGAAAAGTAAAATTTCTAGGTGAAGGCATAATTTATTATAGAAACTTTCACCTTGTTTCTCACTGAGCTATAGTGAGCTATAGCATACATTATTTTATCTTGTAAAATACCATGACTCAGCTATACTTAGATTTTTAAATAAATTTGTAAACAGGACTTTAATGAATTTCAACACTATATTACAGGATCAATACGGAAAATTTAACAAAGTTCCAGAGTGGCAAAGACTAGCTGGGAAAGCTGCTAAAGAAGTTGAAAAATTTGCCAAAGAAAAGGTGGACCTTGTGTTGATGCACTGGAGAGACAGAATGGGCATTGCTCAAAAAGAGGTAAAAATAAAACTTGCTTCCAAACTCCCAGCATGTCTGTCTATCCTGCATTTTCTCTCATCATTGCTGTCCACAGAAATGGGTGTCAGACATCTGACTTAACACCCAAATTAAAAGACCTGAAGAAACGCCCCCTTACCCTACTTTATATTTTTATATATTTTTTCTTAATTTATAGTTTTATAATTTTTTATTTTAATATAAAAGTCTGCTCTTAATTTCTCTCCCATAACTTCTGGTTTCTGTACTTTGATTTATATAGACCTATTTCCTTTCTTCCTTCTCTGAACTTTGTTTTCTAACCATAAAAATGAAGATGTTCTTGCTTAACTTTTTTATTCAGAACTAGCCAGACAAGTGGTTTTGAAATATTTACATTTTTAATTTAACATTAATGTTTGTAATTAAAGCTTTCAATATTAGCTCCTGAAGTCAACATCAGATCTAAAACAGTTTGTCTCATCCTTCAGCATGTAGCATATGCTGCAGAATCTACTGCATGTTCTTCTAACTAGGATGGAACATGCCATGGTTAAGAATTGTTTAAGGCGCCCTATGAAAATTTATTTGATCTCACAGTCTTTGTTGACCACACATTCTTCCCTTTTACCATCTCTTCGTTCAAGGGAAGTACTATAAATATGTTTCTACAATGGCAGGTTTCTTGTGAATTTCTAGACTATCTAAACATAAGGCGTCAGGTGCACCGAACAAATAGTCTTATGTGTCTATCTGAAATTGAGAATGATTTTCAGTTCCTTAAAACTTGAGCACATTGGGGTTAATGCTCATTGATATGAATGTCATGCAGTATAAAGAATGATTAGGCAGGTGTCCTAATGATTAGATAGTAGAGAATACTGAACTTTGAATTGTTAAACCTATATTTGGAACTGATTCCATGGCTTACTAATCTGTTTGGGAAGTTAAGGGTTTTCGTAAAAATCTTACTTTCCTCTTTCATAAAATTAGAATAATAATAACTCCCCTCTCTAATAGGATTGCTTTGATATAGAAACAAGATAATAAAAGTTATATACATGTCTGGTTATAATAATACTGCTATAGCATTTTGAACAGTTGAAAGTATAGATATGATATGATTTTCACAGTTAATAAGAATTACAAGCTCCTGGCTTCAGGTAGTTAAATCTACTTCTAAAATAAGTTGTTCCAAGCTGTTGAAAATAATTACCATACTGAAATTAAATTTTGGGCATCAAATTTCATATAACAGTATCTAGCGTAATCTTGAAACAAAGCTGTTGCAGCTAGAAATGTAGATAACATCTGTCATTCAAAAAAAATGGTTCCGGGGCCTCCCCGGTGGCGCAGCGGTTGAGCACTGGGTTGCGAAGCTGCCCGCAGCCTCTGTGGCGCCGGTTCCATCCCCGGCTGCTCCCCGGCCACTGGAGGAGGGTCCCACATGGCGCGCAGACCTCTCCTGCCGCCCGCTGCTCCCCTCAGCAGTGTACTTCGGCCCTTCTGCCTGCTCTGCTCCCCGCTCTGGCTCTGGTGAATTCTCTCACCCTCCCGCGCTTCTGACTGTACCCAGTGCATGTATAAACAAAACAAACAAACAAATAAATGAATAAATAAAGCATGCCTCTATTAAAAAAAAAAAAAAATTAAAAAAAAAAAAATGGTTCCGAAGGTAAAGAATGTATTTGTAATATCAACAAGGTGTATTGGTCTGTTGGTTTCGTTTACATGGGGTGTTATAGTGTCAAGCAGTAATAATGCCAAATAGATTTGCTGGTCAAAAAAATTTTGCTAGAGGGCCTCCCCTGATGGAGCAGCCGTTGAGCGCTGGGCTGCGAAGCTGCCCACAGCCTCTGCAGCGCCGGTTCGATCCCCGGCCATCAGCGAGGGTCCCACAGGGTGCGCAGACCTCTCCTGCCACCCGCTGCTCCCCTCAGCAGCGTATTTCATCGGTCTGCCTGTTCTGTTCCTTGCTCTGGCTCTGGTGAATTCTCACCCTCCCACGCTTCTGACTGTACCCAGTGCTTGTATAAATAAATAAATAAATTTAAAAAAAATTTTTTTTGGTAGAAAACTAATTATTTCTGTTGCAATACTATCTTTAACATTAACATCTTTAAGAAATTGAATGATCCCTGTGTGTTTTATTACTAGAAATATTAACACCAAAGTATGGAGTTATGTGCTTTAACTAAAGTCTGAAAACTAACCATTGTCAAGATGAACTGGCTGGCCTTGAAATGAGCTGCATTCTTACATAGTCAGAACTAGCCAGACAAGTGGTTTTGAAATATTTACATTTTTAATTTAACATTAATGTTTGTAATTAAAGCTTTCAATATTAGCTCCTGAAGTCAACATCAGATCTAAAACAGTTTGTCTCATCCTTCAGCAGCAGCCTAAAATTTGGGTCAGAGATTTAGAGAAGCAGGTGGGCCTTTTAATGTCTTAAAGTGAGGATGATTTATATGGATAACATTCTTGTGAAATTTATATAATAGATACAGCATAGCAAATATAGGCTCACTTTATTTTCTTTAAAAATTTTTTTTATTTTTTCCTTTTTACAATTAAATTCAGGACAGAAACAATCTGGTGAGTTTAAATCCCTGCTACATGTGTGAAATGCATTATATTGCCTGGCATGTGGAATCGTCTTTGATATTCTTTGTCTAATAAATTAATTTCAAGCCATACTTCACATGTGTCTGAATGTAGATACTTATTTCTTGTCCACTAGCTATTTCAACTTATACTTGCTCCTCTTGGCTTTGATTCCAGTTTAATAACCTGTGGTCTTTTGCATTTATTACTTTCCCAAGACTTTTGTATTAACTGCATGTAAGTGTTTAAAACAAGTTTGTTACAAATTTTATTAGTCATCACTGTAAACTTCAACAAAGTTTGGTGCTCAAACAACTGAACACTACATGGAAAATATTTCGGCAACAATGTAGAAATATGTACTGGCAGATTAATATATTTTGATGTAATCTAATAGCTGATATTCTTATTTTACAGATTTAGTTTTCATTTTTTTCAACCAACATTTAATGAAGAAAGTATTCCTTATCACTTGTAAATTGACAGTCCTCTGTCTGTGGTGGCCCAGTGTGAGCAGTTTTTTTTCTTTTTCAGAATATAAATCAAAAGCCAGTAGTTCTGCGAAAGAGAAGACAAAGAATAAAAATAGAAGCAAATTGGGATCTCTTCTATTATAGGTAAACTTTAGACCTGTTTTCCAATGTAGATTAAATTAGGCATTGCCATAGAGGAATCTGGACAGGGTTTTCTTTCCTAGAACCCTAGTGCTCTAGTGCTACCAGTATTTTTATGCTATCCCTGTCAACTATAACTATTAAGATTGATATGATTAGTGATGCTTCAATAAAATTAAGGCCTTTTATGAGTGTCTGTAGTCCAAAGAGCTAAAGTTAACCTTAAATTTTTTTTTTAGGACAGAGATGACGTTTGCTTTAAAATACTTAATTGTGGCTTATTGGTAACTACATTATCACTTCTTTATGCCTTATTAGAGCCTTAAAAGAGGTGGGTGATGAAAACATTAAGGAGATTTGTGAGAAATAGGTACTTCATATACTTCTCCAGTTTTTCTAATATGGTAACCCCTTTTTCTCTCACACTCTCCCCCCGCTTATCCCACCTCCAGATACATAAGTTTAGAAGGACTTTAAAACATAGGGAAAAGTTTGCAAATATTTTTGAAGATAACAAAATATTCATCCTGGAAACTAATATATTGATTGTACCTTACTAAGTAAAGAAAATAGGTGCTTTGAAAACAGTACTTTTACAGCACAGAGTACAATATACCTTGGTTTTCTTAGGATTCCTTCAGTGGTCAAACCCCCAGAACTCCCTGAGAACTCTGACGTCAGATTTTCCAGGAATGAATATCTGAATGAACATGAAGCTCCCTTACCCCAGTTCAGACTTACTCTAGGAATGAAAGGAAGATATTTTGAAAATACCCATCAGAGCTTGACCATGTAGCAGTATTCTTTCTTGGGTAGTTTTTAAGATTCTAGTCTAGACTGTTGCTCATCCCACACCCTTCACACCCAATAATCCAGAAATTCTTAACCACAACCTAAAATTTGGTGTCGATTATATAATGAATCATTTTCTGGTTGGAATTTAGTAGCAATAAATACTAAAATTGAAATCAGCTCCTTTTTTTCAAAATTCACAGATTTTTTTTGTAGTTTGGGTTCATTTTCCCCCAATATCCTGTTCTAAAAATTTTTAAACAAATGAGAAAGGTATAAGAATTTTGCAGTAACTACTATATATGTAACACCAAGGGTCTACCATTAACATTTTATTATATATATACTTTACAGAGATTTTATTTTCTTACCCTTGCTAAAGTTTGTTAACTCCATTCTTTTCTAGCTTGTTATAAGAAGTAATAAGGAGACATTTATAAATTTTGTTTAAAACCGTTTATTGCTTGTTATTTTCTGACTGTGTGTGTGTGTGTGTTTATCTAGGTTTGGACAGGACCATGCCAGGTCAAACCTAATATGGAATTTCAAAACACGAGAAGAGCTGAGAGATAGCCTTGAATCTGAAATGAGAGCATTTAATATTGATCGAGAACTTGGCAGTGCTAATGTGATCTCCTGGAACCACCATGAATTTGAGGTAAAGTTTAATTTCGTTTTATAACAGATTTTTTTTGAAAACATATTTTTTGGAGTCTTAAGAAATTTAGTTGTATTTTCCCCCTTGTAATTTTATGGAGAAAGTATTGGAAAACTTTAATATTTGCCTGACAAAAATAAGAAATTACTTTGTTAAGTAACTCACTTTTGTACCTGAGAGTCATGTGGGAGTTAAATTTGATCCTGTACGTTCCAGGTCAGTTCTTGGTTTATTCCTTCTCCTTTTAAATTTTTTTCTCCATTAAAAACAGCCTGTTCCCCTTGTTCCTTGTAACTTGTATGTTTTTTTTTTTTTTTTCCTTTCTGGTAATTTGATTTTGAATGTGGTCATATTTTGCTGTCCTATTAAAATATTGATGCAGAGAACAGCAAAACAAAGTAGACAGTTATGTGTGTGTATAGTGTAAACTCTTGCAGTAACCATACATTTGAACATACTCATGACCCTACAGTTGATTTTTAACCAAACTGTATTTCAAAACCATACGGTGATTTGACTGTGCTTCAGAACCTGCCTTTACTTGGGTTTATGGAGTCTGTATTTGCCTGGCATTTTCTTTTGCTCATTTTCCCTTATTTCTGCACTTATTAAGTGTTGGCTTGCTTCGAAGTGTCAGTTCTTGTACCTCTTTTCATTTATATTTATTGCCAGTGTAAGCTCATCAATTCTCTTGGCTTTAAGTGTTTTTTTTTTTATTCCTAACTTGCTAGTGGTTTCTAGATAGATGTTTATCTGCTTAGACATTTTTCCCTGGACTTCATACTTTCATAATTTGATATTTAATAAACATTTAGAACTTATCTCTAAAGCCCTGTTCTTGTTCTTCCTTCAAGCTCATTTCTCTTGCTGTCTTTATGATTTTAGGTAGTGGCTACTTCTTATTTTCTAGTCAAAACCTTTGAAATTCTCTTTTCTTTTATACCTCAAATCCAAATCCGATTCAAAACACTTACATAACTTATCTAGGACCCTGCTCTCATCTGTGAGATAGCAACAATATGTCTGCTTCCACCATGGCCTCCCTACAGTGCATCAGCAAAAGAGCTGCAGTGTCCTCAGATCATGCAGAACCTTCCTGTGTTCCCATGGCTTCGCATCTCAAAGTGACTCAGGACAGGATTTGTGTGCCCCCAACACCTACTGTTCTCTCTCTCAGGGCACATGGGGCTCCCTGAAAACACCAAATTCATGTTCTTGACTCAAGGTCTTTGTATTTGTTGCTTCCCCAGACAGCCCCTTAACTTGTTTTGTCTTTTCCTGAATTGTCATCATCTCAGTGGGTCCAGCCACCCCATTTCAGAATGCAGCCCTCTTTACCCAGACACACTTTTCCTCCTCCTCACCTCTCCCCTTCCACTTCCCTCTTGTTCCCCACCTACCCGCCTTTATTTCACTTCATAGCACTTACTATCATCCAACTGTCATACACATTTTATTTTTTTACGCTGATAACTAGAATAGTGCATGGTACACAGTATGTGCTTTATAAATGACTGTCATTTATTAAGGCTCAGAATTTATAGAAAGATAGTAAAATCAATCTACATATATGACTCTGTTTTATATTCTTGGAAATGAATTGTTTTAGGCATTCAAAGAAGTATTTTGATAATCTTGTCAGGGAATTCCTTAAATGCTTGCAAATCTTTCCTGGACTCAAGCAGCCCGAGTCCCCGGCTGCTGACTATGCTCTACTCCTTTACCTTCACCTCCAATTTTGTAGCCTGGAGTTATTTGAAATACAGAGAATGGATACTATGTAAACATATAAACTGTAGTTGATATGTGGGGACCTAAGAGGAAATCTCAAGTAGCTTGTTGAACTGGCAAATCGTGTGGGTGCAGCACCATCTACTCCTTGCTTGATGGAGGCAAGCAGAGGGGGAATGAAGCAGAGCTCCCCCTAAACCTTAGTGGACGTAATACAGACTCGACAGTTTTTATCAGCAAATTTCACATTCATAAAATTGGTGTGTAATTCTGACTCAACATTTAGCTAAAATAGTCTTAATAGTAGTGACTTACCAGATATTTTAAGAAATGGTCTGGGGTTTTTATATTAAAAGTTGTTTTTTCAGGGCCTCTCTGGTGGCACAAGGGGTCAAACATCAGCACTATGAAGCTGTCTGCAGCCCCTGTAGCACGAGTTTGTTTCCAGGCCAGGGAGGTGACCCATATGGCACAGCAGACCTCTCCTGTCTCGCCCACTGCTTCCCTTAGCAGTGTATTTCAGTAGATCTGCCTATTCTGTTTCCCACTCTGTCTCTCATGAATCCTCTCACCCCCCACACCTCTAGCCTACACCCCAGCTCTTGTATGCATAAATAAATAAATCTTTAAAAAATAAATAAAAGTTGTCTTTTTTTTTTTAAATGACAAGTTTTTTTTTTTAATTTATTTATACAAGAACTGGGGTACAGGTCAGAGGCGCAGGACGGTGAGAATATTCACCAGAGACAGAGCGGGGAGTAGAACAGGCAGAATGATCAAAGATACTGCTGATGGGAGCAGCGGGCGCGGCAGGAGAGGTCTGCTGCGCCATGTGGGTTTCTCCCTGGCCGGCTGGGAATCGAACCCGCACTGCAGATGCTGCGGACAGCCTCACAGCATGGCGATCAATCCGCTGCACCACCCGGGAGGCCCTAAAAGGAAAAGCTCTGAACAAAAAGAATTGTAAGAAGCAATTAGGTGAAAAATTGCAAAAATCTCTTGTAAATGCAAATGTAATTTTATTTTATTAATTAAGGTTAAATATGAGTGCCTGGCAGAGGAAATTAAAATAGGAGACTATTACCTGAGATTACTGTTGGAGGAAGATGAGAATGAAGAAAGTGGATCAATTAAGAAATCGTAAGCTGCTCTTCCTATCTTGGTCTATTTATTTTCACCATTAGCTTGTGGCTGTATCTCCTGTAAAACTTTCTTTTTAATCTAGGTATGAATTTTTTAATGAACTCTATCATCGTTTCCTGCTCACCCCAAAAGTAAACATGAAGTGTTTATGTTTACAAGCCCTTGCTATTGTTTACGGCAGATGTCATGAAGATATAGGACCTTTTACAGATACAAGATACATCATTGGAATGTTAGAAAGGGTAAGGATATCATTTAAGGAAACTGCTGAAATTTTTAAACTAAATTTAAACCTTATTTGATCACATTGTTAGTACAACTTTCTGATATTTTTCTCCAACTTAACATAACACTTAATTTAAATAGGTAAATAGGAAAATGACTAATGGGTTAGTATTTGTCCATGTCAGCTTAGGTTTTTTCCGTTGCTGCTTTGAATGACTAGCAATCTGTTTGCCAGTCTTTAAGTTTGGATGAGCTGGACATGTGTATAAAAGAAATAGTGACATTTAGAGTTGTGTATACTTTTGGTTTTCCTTTTTGCAAAAAACCTTGAATGATGCTAACCTATTTAAATTCGAAGTGTGAAGATAATACAACTTTCTAGAAATAGAATAACCAAAAAGGGGAACCTTGAGTCAACCTGTTGCATTATTTTAGAAAGCTTGTCATTTGACACTTAGGCATGCTGGGGTAAGAGAACAATCTGATCAATTCATGCAGCATGCAGCTCATCCAGTGCACTGCTCTTGGCAGTGTGTCCACTTTATTCATTTGTATTTCTGCTTTATTCATTTGTTTCCGTTCCTCTTACATTTATCAATTTCATTTTCTATAAACTGCCTTATAACCATTTCATCAGTTTTTTAAATAGTCATTCTTATGATGCCTTAATTGTTCATTATTCTTAGTGTATTAGAATATAGAATCTGAATAAAGTTATAAAACATATGTAGGAAATAATATAACCTGATGAAAATCCTTATTGCTTGCTGTTATGCCAGATTGCACTATGGAATTCTAATCTATTATTCCAGTGAACCTGAGTACTTGTGGTATAATATTCGTATTTTAGATAGAGATGTTTTTCCTTGTTTGTGTTCATCAGCATATGATTTATGTGAAAGTTGTTAATCAGTTCTTTAGAGTTTTTGCTTAATTGAAGGATTGTTATTTGGGCCAGTTATACCATTTATTTCCATTTTTACATATAATTTTAAAACTATGTAATAAAGTAATATTTATGATTTAAAATATATGCCTTTCTAGAAAAAAGGCATATATTTTTCCCTGCAATATAAAATTATAACAGTAATATAAAATTGCAGAAAATGTAAGACATTGAAGAATTAGGATAATTCCTCAGTTGTGTCTGAATTTCTTAATGCTTAAAATATGACATTTATTATTGGCTGTTGGGTCATTTTATCCAGTGGTGGTAGTATCTTAATTTGTGGTTTTAATAGCTGACTAAATTTTTATTTATTTCAATAGTGCACAGATAAACTTGAACGAGATAGGTTGATCCTCTTCCTTAACAAGTTGATCCTTAATAAGGTACAGTATTTTTGTGTACATAATTATGTATCAAAAAAAAAAATCATTGCAGTTTGGGTTAAGCATTCAGATATGATTCTTTTCTTATCTTCTTTTTAGATCAGAAAGTTTTGTGTCCTTTTAGCACCTAGAGGGAAACCTTTCTGCCGAATATTCTCTGTATGTTTTTCTCTGATAATACAGATACTGGATAAATTAATGGAAATAAAATTGTGCATGAAGAATATGAGGGCTAAAATCATTAGCTGCTTTTTCTTTAGGGAATCTTTAGGATTATGTAATGTAAGTGACAAATATGAAAGGTTTTCAATTTCTCAATATACATTTTGATGATGAGAAAGAAATTTGAAGACATAAAATGAAGAGTCACTTTACCTCTTCACTTTTTAATAGGTTCATCCTCATTTCTAACAATTCATAGTTACATAACATCAATTATTATTGATATATTTTACTATATCAGATTTTATTTCTAATTATTAACAAAAAGATCTTGAAAACAGAATTATTATAGAACTAGAAAGTTTATCATGGGCTAGCCTTTAATTTTTTTGTGTGTTTTTTTGTTCTGTTAAAATATAAGTAAAAATTCTTTATATAATAATTTTTTTGTAATACAGGTTTTTTTAAAAAGAATTGTATTTCCTATTGAGATAATTTTGGTTTACAAATTTGTATATGATTTAGGGGGTGTAGGTTCATATTTCCTCAGATACCATATCATGTCTACAACCTGTAATACAGTTTTGCCCTTTTAATCTTCATCTAAATCCCTGTTCCTTGAACCCAAAATCCTGAGAAAACCAAGTTGTAACCGTTGTGTGCTAGTTATTTCCAAGGAGATTCCAAATAGTCTCTTCTTTGCGGAACTTTTAAATAGTAGTACCTATTGGAGAGAAAGATTTTAAATTATATAAATGTTGTCTTCCAGAAAAATGTTAAGGATCTGATGGATTCAAACGGAATTAGAACCCTTGTGGACTTGCTCACCCTTGCGCATCTCCACGTGAGCCGAGCTACAGTGCCCCTGCAGGTGTGTGCGCTGATTAGTTTTTACCAGCTCAACAATTTTTGAGTATAATTTTAGATCAAAAAAATCATAGAAATCTGAAAATAGTTCAATATATGTAACCACAAATGCGTTTTTTTGTAATTTTTATGATAGTGCTAATGCCTGGGAGATTGATTTACAAGGAAAAGTGAAATAACCCTAAAAACAATCCAGAATGGGAGGCAAAGATCCAATTTTATTTTTCATGATCTCTTTTGTCTTTTTTTATTTTAAAGATTTATTTATTTATGCATACAAGAGCAGGGGTACAGGCCAGAGATGCAGGGGGTGAGAGCAGAGTGGGGAACAGAACAGGCAGACTAACTGAAATACACTGCTGAGGGGAGCAGCGGGCAAGACAGGAGAGGTCTGCTTCACCATGTGGGTTGCTCTCTGGCCAGCCAGGGGATTGAACTCATGCTGTGGCTTTGGATTGCTTCATAGTGCAGTGCTTAACCCCTTGCAGCCAGGGGGCTTCTCTCTTTTGTCTTTTAAAGTAACTGCATGTCTTAGCTTATTTTGAGGCAATATGACCTTGAGAATTTAAAGCAAATTCCTTGGTTATGTAACTAGAATTTTTAGCATTGAGAACCATTGAGAGTGTGCTTTTCCTTAAGGAATCTGGGGGGGGGGGTTCTGGGGTGGAGGGAAACCTTATTTAAACTAGTGAATAAGAGGAGAGAGCTGCAAGTCTATAGAACTGCCTCTCTGATGCCTAACTTTTAACTCATTGGCGATTTTTTTGCTTTTATGATTTGTTTAATCTCCTGGTGTAAGATGTGTCATGTTAGATTCAGCTGAATTGTGAACAAAAGTGCCATTTGAATGTTTAGAATGTGACATTTTCTGCTGTCAGATATGAATAATGGTGATCGAGCTTATCTACCATTACAGTCTACCTAGTACTGTGTATCAGATGTCTGCCTTGAAAACTAACTAAATCTTTTTAAAATTTAGAGCAATGTAATTGAAGCTGCTCCAGATATGAAGAGAGAGAGTGAAAAGGAATGGTACTTTGGCAATGCAGACAAAGAAAGAAGTGGTCCATATGGCTTTCATGAGGTATGTGTTTGGAGAAATGTTTTGTGAAGATTTTAGCCTTTCTTTGTTTTCCTGTGTAGCATATTCAGAGATGTGGAATATTTTTAAACTATGATTTGAAATATTGTCAACTCCATGGGTTTCTGCGCCATTTCCACACCATGTCCACACCATGTCTTCATTGTTTGAAAGCTTATTGTTTAAAAGCTATTGTTATTATATTAACACCCAGGTTTTAATAAGTTTTATATAATAACAGTTGCTACCTTACTAATTGTATCACTGGAATGTTTCTATATTGAATGAACAGGTAAGATGTAACATGTGTCTGAAATTCATTGCAGATTACCTGTGTAGTCCACAGGCAATTTCCTTCTTAGCATCTGCTGCTACTTAGTCCACCTCTGCCATCCTTAGCCTCCCAGGCTCATTTGGAATTTAGTCAAAAATAGTTTTATAGAAGACCAAACCTTCTGCTTGTATATAATTTGGTCATTTTTTTTTTTTTAATAGAGGCATGTTTTATTTATTTATTTGTTTGTTTGTTTTGTTTATACATGCACTGGGTACAGTCAGAAGCGCGGGAGGGTGAGAGAATTCACCAGAGCCAGAGCGGGGAGCAGAGCAGGCAGAAGGACCGAAGTACACTGCTGAGGGGAGCAGCGGGCGGCAGGAGAGGTCTGCGCGCCATGTGGGACCCTCCTCCGGTGGCAGGGGAGAAGCCGGGGATCGAACCGGCGCCGCAGAGGTCACGGGCAGCTTCGCAACCCAGCGCTCAACCGCTGCGCCACCGGGGAGGCCCTATAATTTGGTCATTTTATACTCTGTACCATTTTTGCTCAGCAGGCTGGCCAACTAAATAGTTATTTTCTCTTAATAACCAAATTTGGTTTCTTACATCTGTCATTTAAAGTGTACTTCATATTTATTTCATAGGAAGTATGTACTGACTACAAAATAGCAAACATTACAGACCTTTTCATATTGCTTAGTTTGTAATAATGATGCCCTCCATTCATTTAGATGCAAGAATTGTGGACCAAAGGAATGTTAAATGCAAAAACCAGATGCTGGGCTCAAGGCATGGATGGATGGCGACCACTTCAGGCAATACCCCAGCTTAAGTGGTGTCTGTTAGCCAGTGGCCAGGCAGTACTAAATGAAACTGAACTTGCTACCCTTATATTGAACATGTTGATCACAATGTGTGGATATTTTCCAAGCAGGTAAAATGTAATTGAACATTTCCATGGTTACCAGGGACACTAAAGCATCTGTTCTCCCCCATTTAGATGGGTGCTTCTTCAGTACATCATGGGGTTACTCTGGTGATTTAGAGCAAAGATATCCCATTGTGATCTGGGTTTGAATTTTGTTGCTTTGAATTTTGAAACATATATGAAGAAATACTTTGTAAGTTATGTTGTTAAAGTAGCTTTTTGTAAATTGTGTTGATAAAGTCTGGGAGACTTTAGCTAATGTTGCAGGGTAGAGGCTTAGCTCTGTAGAAACAGTAGCATTTGTCATATTCATGAGCATGAGGCAGGCACACTTTGAAATAAACATAGGATAGTCCAGAGACAGTGGTGAGCGCTGGCTTCTGAGATAGAGGGACAGCTCTCTTGCTGGTGAGGCCACGCTCACACCTTGTCACACTTGACTGGTATGGGTGCGAACTACCATGTTAAAGATATTTTGTGATGAAAATTATTGAATATCTCGCAATTTAATACCACTTGACTTTTCGTAGCTCCAGTTCTCTTCACAATACAGATCAGATTTAAAATTATATAGTTCATATTCAGAAGTAATATACCATTAAAATTAAGCCTATACTTGGAAATACTGAGTGTAAGTTAAATTAAGGTTTAAATTTGGGTGACAGTTTGATATGCCCTTTGGGGGGAAATATCCACTGACAGTGTGTTGGACAACACCAAGTTTAATCAATTAAATAATAAATAAGAGTCTTTGGCTCTTCTAGGGTACTGTTTTTCAAGGAAATCTTTTGGAAGGAAATGAAGTCATATTAAGCAGCCAAATAGATTTAAACCAAAATACCTAATCATGTTCCCAGCTGTATGAGAGCTTAGTCTTCATTAACAAAAAAGTAAGGTAATATGCTTCATGCCTAGTAGACTGTCATATGCTCTGAACATACAAATTTAATAAATATATTGAATGTTGACATTAAAAACTATTTTTTAGGGATCAAGATAATGCCATCATTCGACCTTTACCCAGAGTGAAAAGGCTGCTGTCGGACAGTGCTTGCCTTCCCCACATTATTCAAGTGAGTCCTTTTTATGTTATCGAATTAGGAATGATAATTTAAGAGTCATTTTCCCTTATTTAATTCTACCATGAGCCCCGTCTTTTTTTTTTTTTTAATTGTACTCCATTCCATTTTCAAACAGCCTGAACCCTAAATTACATTTATTTCTCTTACTCCTAATTGAGTTGATATTCCGAATATACAGTGGAACATCTCCAAGAACCTGTGGGAAGCATCCACATACCAGAGTTATTCTTCAAAGGTCTTATTATCCATTCTTAAAATTATGCACTATGATCACTGAAGGTGATGTACTCTAGTTTGTGGTGGAGCTTGATGTTAGGACGCCCAGGGAGGCCACCCATAGGTCACACATGTAGACTCGGTGCCTCAGTTACATTTTCTTCATAGACAGCTGCTGATCCAAAGTGTAGAGTAGGAATTATGTGGCGTATACTAAAGCATCTTTTCTTCCCCTGATTACTTTGCTCTTTTGGAATTAAGCTACCTAAACTCCACAGTAGCTTTAAACCCAACAAACTCAGGTCCCAGAGATGTGAGGTCAGTGTCTGTTTCCCATTTATTGATTACCATTTTGTCATATCTAATTACATAAACCACACATGGTATACCTTCAGAATCTGTGCTAGTAATTTTGCCATTTGTATAGTCCTACATTGGCATGAAGAGAGGGAAGTTACTTTGTGCATTTTTGCATCCATGGGAATGTAAGTACCTATGTAAGTCACCAAAAGTGAAAAAACTTCATTTTAACTGTAATTAAAGCAGTTACATCACATTTAAAATTCTAGATTATGAAGATTTTTAAAATTTGTGTGCATCTCTATTTTGGACATTTTAGGTGCTTAAATACAAGAGCACTGCACAAAAGTTGTTTATTGTAACCCACTACCATCCCAGCCCAGAAGTCTGTGGCTGTATATGTGAGGAGGTACAAAGAGAGGGATTTGTTTTCTATCTGGACCTTCTTGGCATGTAAATAAATGATCATGCCTAGAAAATTTTTAGCTTTCCCAATTTTAGTCATTTTTCTGAGACTATGAAACTGAAAGAAAAATAAGTGCAAATTTTTAATTTCAATCTAGGAAAGGATGACTGAAGAACTCTTAGGAGATGTGGTTAAGATAACATGAAGGTTGTGGGGAAGGTGTTTTAATTAACCAAAATTTTTTCATAATCTCTGTACAGTTAGTCATTCAAGAGAAGAATTTTATTGATAATTTTAACTGCTACTAGCTGTTTGTGCCATGTAAATTTTTTCTGAATTCAAAAATTTTTTCAGAAACTAATTTTGTTTTCCCTTAAATCTCTGTATTCTGAGAGACCTTAATCTTATACTGAGCACAGTTACGTCACTAGTTTTCAGGAATTTACCTATCTTGGCTAGTATGGATTTTGCTACTTCATTCGACTTTAAGAGCAGTCTCCAGTTTTACCATCTGATACAACTTGAGAATTTTAGAGTGGTCTAAGATACAATGAGTGAATGTCCTAGATTTTCCAGTATCATCAAAATTTAAAATGTTCTGGGTTTTGCTTGCTAATCCCCATATTTTTATTAAAGTGACATCAAGTCTTGAACTACAACTACATTAACACTAGAGCCATTCCTGTATTACTGCATCTCAGTTTTTACTTTGTAAGATATGTCATAGTACTGAAGACTTAATCTAAATACCTTGTTAAACAGATAAATACCAAAAACACAGAGAAATTGAAATTACTTAAAAACATATAGCTGTTCGGTCTCATATCTGAATTTAGAACTTTGACCTCCTAAGCTGAGCTAGTATTTACTGTCATTACTACAGTTTTTCTTACTGATAACATTTGACCCAAAGTTGAGGATTCTTTGGAAATATTTATAGAAAATTGAAATGCTAATTATTAAGATATAATATTCAGTTTCTTTATGGTGGTAGACATACTAGTAGTGTTCAATTTATCCTCGTCTTTCCTGCATTTTGAGATTTTTTTTTAAGTGTTGTTTCACTGAGAGTTGTTCTCTGCCTCTGCTCTTTGAGTTCTCAAGAAGTCTTCAAGGGATTCTTTTTCTCAACTGAACTGAAACTGACCCAAAGTATAGCTACTTACTTTCCCCTTTTTTCTTTACTAATAGGGAAGTTCATTCAGGAAGATTCCTGCACAAGAAACAGTGTTACCTATAATCATGATAAAACATCTCCAGGCACTTTTGAGTTTTTCCTGAATAAGTTTTGATCATTTCTCAATATTTTACTATCTCTGCATTAAATGTTGTAAAATGAATCACTTCTCAAATCTGCTAAGAGTAGTGGACAACTTACTGAATCCAGCGGATTTTTATTATGCAGTTTACTATTCTATATGTATGAAAACCATAACCTCAACATAAACCTAAATTGGACAGTGATACTACCAGTTTTTTACAATACAGTAACAAACCCATTTCTTTTTTAGCTACTGCTGACCTTTGACCCTATCCTCGTTGAGAAGGTTGCTGTTTTGCTATACCATGTCATGCAAGATAATCCACAGTTGCCTCGTCTTTATCTTAGTGGAGTGTTTTTCTTTATCATGATGTATACAGGTTCCAATGTACTTCCTGTTGCTCGGTAAGAATTCTGATGGTAATCTTGAAAATTATTATTTGCCATATATGTGAACAAAATTATTAACTGAATTTTTTGGTGTGTATCTCATTGCTTTTATAAATTATTATAAAAATTCTAACTCCATATCTGAAAATTCGGAAATAGAAATGGGGGAAAATGCCTCAGAATTATACTACTTTAGTTAAAGGCAAAAGATTCATACCCTATCCAACATAAGGCTTTTATTATTTAGTATTTTAATATATGTACTTAATATAACTATTCACACTGTATATGCAGTTTTACATTTAACTTTGGTTACTTTTTTATATTATTACAGAACTTAAATAAAATCATTATTTTTAAATCTCCCTAATTTAAATTGTTGCCTTAATTAGAAATTAAACAATTTGGGAATATGGATTTGTAAGTTGTCTTTTATATATAAAAGATCTGTAGAAAACTAAAGTCACTGTATGTATAACAAGTAATTTTTTTCCCCTAGGTTTTTGAAGTACACACATACTAAACAGGCTTTCAAGTCAGAAGAGGTAAGCCAGATAAATCCTCTGAATACATAACTTAATAGTGGGATAGTGACTTGGCATGAAAGTTTCCTTAACTATGCATGTTTACTAGATTTTAAGCAACCGAGGGCAAATATTGTTTCATTCATTTTTTTTTCACATTCTTTGTAGTACCTTGCACACAGAAACCCTAGGCTAATATTTTTTAAAAGAAAATCAATGTCCATTATTGAAATTGCTGAATTATGAACTACAGCCCGGTACCATAGTAAATATAACTTGTTCCCTATGTGTAAAACTTAGATTGGTAATTTTCATAAATAATTCATTGTATACTTAAGTCTCATATAGTCGGGCAGGCTTCAGTAGACCTCAGCCTTCTTTTTGTTCACATCCCAAGGAGGCAGAAGTGCTAAGTTTCTTTTTTAAAGTTAGTTAATTTTTCAGGTACTGAAAGTATTCCCGTTTTACTGAAGAGGAAAATTGGGAATCCAAAAATCAATGACCAAATAGCTTTGACAACCTGAAACTTTATACCTACATTTTTCAAAGAGATACTTGTTACCAAAACATAACCAAAGGGCATTTCAAAATATGTTAGGCTTTTATGGCACACTAATTTGCAGATTTTGTTTAGAGCTGAATAAACCAACACCAGACTAAGCAACAGCTATTACCCCTCTTTCACATAAACACTAGACCAAACAGCAGGACTGAGGAGCAGCCGGTGCGGCCTGGAAGGAAATCTGTCTCATATTAAAGTGATGCCCAGGGCAGCGTGATTTCCAATTTCATACAAATAGAAAATGAGAAAACTGTTAAAAATTTGCTTCCAATGCTACCACCGTAATGTAGCATTAGGCATTCTTGGCATTCTTTACTCCCACCCTGTTTTTCTGTAAAGTTATGCATATATAGTCTTTTAAAAATTTTATAATAAGAGATTATATATATATATGTGTGTGTATGTGTCATCTAATGGTATTTAGAATAAACAAAGAAAATATAGCAGAACTCTGGATACAGAAATTTTCAAATAATGGTTGTTAAAAGAACACAATTCTTCACCCAAAGGTTTAACAGATAGTGATTTTATGATTTTTTTAAAGCAAAGAACCTGAATATATTTATCAAATTTGTCTTTGCAGTAAGTGGTAAAACCATGTCTGGTTTTTCCCCCTGGCTTTTTCTCTGTCAGATCCTAGAGAAATAAAATATTCTCAATTTGCCTAGAAGGAAATAAGAGAAGTTCTTATAATCTTTAGCATATTGTTTCTATTAGGAAAAGAAATGAATTTGAAAGTTCAGTATGATAAAGTTTAATTATTTCCCTGACTCCATTTGAGTGGCCAAAGGATGTGGAATTCCTAATACAGATAGTTACTATTGCATTGCATAGAAATTCTCAACCTAAATATTAATCACACTTCATAAGCACAGGCTCTTAAAGATCTTCATCTTTTGGCCTTAACTTGTTTTTGCAAACAGAAGCAGGTGCCAGCAGGAACTACAGCCAACAGCATAACAGAATAATTGACATAATTCTTGGCATAATCTTGTGTCATCCCTCATTCATGGTCAAAGGCAGTCTACGTAATATCAGCAGCACCTGATCCCTGAGGAGGTTAACTCTGCTGCAGGACCGTAGGCTGTTACCCCACCTTGGAGCTTATGCTAAGCCAATTTATACCAGCCACCTTGCATTCACATTTTGCCATGTTTGGCAAAAGAAGTAGAAGAAATAGAAGAAAATACATAGAAATAGGAAGATAGGCGCCTCCCCAGTGGCGCAGCGGTTGAACGCTGGGTTGCGAAGCTGCCTGCAGCCTCTGCAGCGCTGGTTCGATCCCCAGCTGCCAGGCAAAGGTCCCACGTGGCACGCAGACCTCTCCTGCCGCCCGCTGCTCCCCTTAGCAGTGTACTTCGTCAGTCTGCCTGCTCTGCTCTACCCTCTGGCTCTGGTTAATTCTCTCACCCTCCTGTGCTTCTGACTGTACCCAGTGCTTATGTAAATAAATAAATAAATCTTTTAAAAAGAAATAGGAAGATACTCTATGCTTTGGATTGGAAGAATTAACATTGTTAAAGTGCCCATATTCTTAAAACAATATGCAGATTCAATGAAATCCCTATCAGAGTACCAACAACATTCTTCACAGAAATAGAACAGAAAGCATAAATTTGGAACAGTGAAAGACCCCAAATAGCCAAAACCATCCTGAAGGGGAAAAAAAATGGAGGTATCATATGCTCCAACTTCATACTGTACTACAAAGCAGTCATAATCAAAACAGCATGGTATTGGTATAAAAACAGACATAGATCACTAAAACAGAATATACACAGAAATAGACCTACATGTACACATAATTGGCAGTTAACTTAAGACAAATTAATTATATGAGCATACAGTCGTGCTGAGAAAACAGGTCAGCCACATGGAAAAGAATAAAACTAGATCACTATCCTAATACCACATGCAAAAATTAATTCATAATTGGGTAAGGATGTAAATGTAAGACCTGAAACCATAAAATACCTAGAGAAAATAGACAATAAGCTCCTTGACATCAGCCTTAGAGGTGTCTGGGGATTTGGCACTAGTGTCGAGGGAAATAAAGGCAAAATAAACAGATGGAGCTACATCAAACCAGAGAACCAGAGAACTTCTGCAAGGTGAAGAAATTATTGTCAAACCAAAAAGATAATCTACTGAGTGGGAGAAGACACTTGCAAATCATATATCTGACAAGGGGTTAATACCCAAAATCTATGAAGAATGCATACAAGTCAGCAACCAAAAACAACTCAATTTAAAAATGGACAGGATTTGAATGACTATTTCTTCAAAGAAGGATACAGATAACAGCACATGAAAAGATGTTCATCATCTTTTATTGTTAGGGAAGTGCAAGTCAAATAGTGAGCTATCACCTCATACCTGGGGAAATGATTATTATCAAAATAATAAGAAATTAGCATTGGCAAGGATATGGAGAAAAGGGAATACTCATGCTACTGGTAAGAATGGAAATTGGTGCTGCCTCTGTGGAAAAGCAGTATGGAGATCCTCAGAAAATTAATAGAAATACCATACTGAAGAGATATTTGCAAAGCCATGGTCATCACAGCGTTATTCACTATAGCCAAGAATTGAAAACCTCCTTCATTCCCACTGAGAAATGATTGCATAAAGATGTGATATATCTACATGGTGGAATGTTACTCAGTTGTGTATGTGTATATGTGTGTAAAGATGAAAATCTGCCATTTGCAACAACGTGGATGATCCTAGAGGGCATTTTGCTAAGTGAAATAAGTCAGATGAAGAATTATTCCATTCATATGTGGAAGATAGAGAAACAAAACTAATGGAATAACCCAATAAAAATAAGCTCTTAGAGTAGAGAAACAAAATAGTGACCAGAAGGGAAGGGCTTAAAGGAATGGGGAAATTTGCTGAAGGGAGTCATTTGTATGGTGACGGATATGAACAAGACTTTTGGTGGCAAACATAGTGTTACATATACAGTTGTTGATTTGTAATGTATACCTGTAAACCATTGTTACTTAGTAAAAAAAAAATAGATTTCTAAATAAAAGCAACTTGTTCCAGTTGTTCTCTTAAAGTATTCTCTAACCCTACCTAGAGAACTTTGAATTTATTAAAAAATTGGATAGTTTTAAGTGTTTCTGACTTTGTTTTATTTTGTTTCAAAGACAAAGGGACCAGATATCTTCCAGAGAAGTATACTTGGGCACATCTTACCAGAAGCAATGGTTTGTTACTTAGAAAATTACGAGCCTGAAAAGTTTTCTGAGATTTTTCTAGGAGAATTTGATACTCCAGAAGCAATCTGGAGCAGTGAAATGAGGTAAATAACCAGTTGATTATTTGTATTTTATATTCAGAATCTCTGCATCTTGCCATCTGGTTAAGAGAACTGCTTTCACTGGTTGCATAATCTAAAGGTACCTTATTCATTGGTGCCAAACCAAATGATGGCTTTTGACAAGACCATAAACTTTTATCTACACTAACACAGTTGACACTTTAATGGCGCTATATATAAGGGTAAATCCTGTTACTGTTAGTGTTTTTTAAATCAGTCTATAGAATCACTATAGGCAGTGAACTAATATGTATGTAAGGAATATATAAAGATAAAATTAAGACACACCTACTGGGTGTTTGGAAATGAAACTGTATTCCACTTAAGAAATAAGCTCACTTGTTGATAGAATGGATCAGACCAGAAGTAACTGAAGGCATTTCAGAATGAAAGCTCCCTAGTCAGAACATTTTGACTTTAATGTGAAGGCTAGCATTCTTTATAAGAATGTCTATAGCAGGGCAGTGCCATAAGGAAAAACCTGTGGAAAACAAGAGAAATGAGGCCCAGAACCAGATATCAATATCTAGATAGGCTCTGTCCAGGAAAGACTTACCAATCATAATTCAGTGTCACAGCTACCTCCTTGTGGAGAACCCCTCTGTCCTCTTAGCTGGATTGCAGTTTGTCTGAGTAGTCATCACTCTGCTTTGTCTGACTTCACACAGAGCCCCCTGCTGGTCACCTGGCTGCTCTGGTAGATTGATCTATAGGTTTAGCGTGTTTTAGCTCCAGTTTCAGTATATTCTGTGTGACAGTCATGTTTTTCACTGTTAACAAATACAGACTATGAATTAGTTTCTAACATCTTTTTTTTTTTTCTATGTAATCTTTTTCTGCTGAGAGTGGGTTATGCGAGTCTCCCTTCTAAAAGATGTAGCTCTGTATACTGATCAAATCAAGTTTCTGCTTAGATGAGAGCCAGATCCTAGACTGGTTAGTTAACTGAAATAAACATCCTGCTGTATGCACCTTTAAGGTGCTAGTGAACTTTAATTTCCAGGCTACACCCTCATGCATCTATGCCAACTGACTTTCTGATGACTGATTTTTCAATGACTGGGTATTTTAGCCTTTTTTCTATGGCCTTCTTTATGGACAAGTGTTACAAATAAGTTCATAGCAGTTGCATATTTTTACACAATAAATTTAGAATGCCCTGAGTAACTTTGTTACTTGCTCTCCTTTTATGCCAATAATTAATGTACTCTAGAGAAGATCCATATAATTATATTGCCTGATCACCTATCTTAACCTTTTCTATAAACCTAAATAATCCTTCATTAATGCTTGAAGCTTTTTATAATTGTAGGCGCCTCATGATAGAGAAGATCGCTGCCCATCTTGCTGATTTCACGCCTCGTCTTCAGAGTAATACAAGAGCACTTTACCAGTATTGTCCAATCCCAGTAATCAATTATCCACAACTAGAAAATGAACTGTTTTGTAATATTTATTATCTTAAACAACTTTGTGATACACTCCGATTTCCAGCTTGGCCAATTAAGGACCCGGTAAGTCTACAGATTAATTTGTGCCTTCTTACCCCATAAATACAGCTTCTTATCCCTTCTGGGTAATATCTTCCTTCTGTGGTAATAATAGCTTCTTCAAGTACTTGCTCTTACCAAACAACTGTGTAACTCTGAGTGTAGTTCAATATATTTGGGTAAGTCCCAGATTGAAAGATAATTTTTCGAGGGAATATTAAGAATATACAATCTTGGGCCTCCCCGGTGGCGCAGCGGTTGAGCGCTGGGTTGTGAAGCTGCCCGCGGCCTCTGCAGCGCCGGTTCGATCCCCGGCTGCTCCCCGGCCACTGGAGGAGGATCCCACATGGCGCACAGACCTCTCCTGCCGCCCGCTGCTCCCCTCAGCAGTGTACTTCGGTCCTTCTGCCTGCTCTGCTCCCCGCTCTGGCTCTGGTGAATTCTCTCACCCTCCCGCGCTTCTGACTATACCCAGTGCTTGTATAAATAAATAAAAATAAATCTTTAAAAAAAAAAAAAAAAGAATATACAATCTTGAGCTCTTGTGACAAAAATGAAACAGACTTGCTTTTGAGTATGTAATACAATTGTATACTATAATAGATTGTCTCTACAGTGGATTAAGCTCACAAATGCCGGATTGAGTCTCAGTTTGGCCATTAATAGCTCTGCATACCAACATTCAGCACATCACTTGACTTCTGCAAGCACTCACTTAGGTAATACTGCTACACATAACAGTAATAGCAACTGTCTTATGTGGTTGGGGAGAGTGAGTGAGAAACTACATAAGAAAGAACATAATTCCTGACACATAGGAGCCATAAGTATGACATGTCTACTGTATACCTGGTCATAGTAGCTCTAGGACCCTCCCAACTCAAGCCCTTGGGTGTCTGTTGGAAACCTGGCAAAAAGTAGGCCTCGGTGATCATGTTGATTTGTTACTGTAGTGGCATCATCCTTACTATCAAAAGATTTATGAACACATGCCATTTGTACCACAGTCATTGCCCATTTACTGTGCTCTGAACCAAATGAAGGCCGGTAGGTAGTAAAATGTATGCAAACTTTGTAAGTCAGGCTAGGTTTGAATCCACTTCCATCACAAACATGCAACTGTCTCTTAGAATCGCAATGTTTTCATGCGTTATTGAAATTTTGTGAGTGAATTAAATCTGTAGAGTTTAAAGACTCTAGCTTCTTAAACATGGAGTAAATATTAACTTTCCTTACCCATTACCCAGACTCCCTTGTGTTTATTATTGCTTATGTTTGTTTGAATGCCAGATTACCAATAATTCTGTAAAATCATCTTGCTACAGTGAATCTTTTCCTAATTTCAAAAGTCTTCTGTACTTTCTGAACATTTATTTAACAGGTTGGCAGACAATAAAAATGTCACTTTAAAAAAAAGAGGAATATAGTCCTATACAAATACCTTATTACCTAACTATTCAGCAGTGCTAAGGAGGTGATAAATGGATGTTTGTATTAAGCCATTAATTGGATAGCCTAGAAATGTCACTTTAAATTCAATGCGAGAATTGTATAATTTAAAACTTATATTCTGAAATAATTTTACTTAAATAGTTACAAATTTTAATCCTTTGTCTTTAAGGTTAAGCTTCTAAAAGATACCCTTGATGCCTGGAAAAAGGAAGTAGAAAAGAAGCCACCTATGATGTCAATAGATGATGCCTATGAAGTACTTAATCTCCCTCAAGGAGAGGGGCCGTGAGTTGTTTTCCATATTACATTCATAAATATTAAGTAAATGCTTTAAGAATATAAATATCAATAACTAAATAATAGATCAATTTTAAATATTTTGCCTACTTGATTTTTTTCTATGGGAAAATAACCATATGGATCTATGTCCATATGATTTTCATTTACTGCAGATTTATTAGGAGAATTCTTGGTATAATCTTTATTAATTGAAATAACGTGTGCAGCTTACCTGGCACCATATCTGACACATGGTAGTTACTAGCATACTTCCCTTCCTCGCCCGTCTTGTAGTTTGGGATGTGCATGAGGATGAGATCTGATGGTGGTACGTCTAAAATGCTAAGTAACAGTTACATAGGGAAAGAATGCAGATTTAGTTTGATATCAGTAAAGTTTTATGATACAATACGTTAGAGGAAAATGGTGGAAAAGATATTTAAGTATAAAGTGAATGTATACATACATTTTGGCAAGGCTGATAATTTCAAGTAACTTAGAATTACAGAACTTCAAGTGACATTTTGAAAATAAGTTTTAAAAAAGTTTTAGTTTTGAAACCCCAAAACATGATTTTGTAATTTGAAGTGAATAATGACATTGATTGGCAACTTTAAGGTTTTTATCTTTCAACTCTAAAGGTAGCATATCGCGTAAACTTACTGGGGTTAATTTTTTTTTAAAGATTTATTTATGTATTTATACAAGAACCGGGGTGCAAGCCAGATTTGCAGGAGGGTGAGAGGATTCACTGGAGAAAGAGTGGGGAGCAGAACAGGCAGACTGAAGAAATACACTGCTGAGGAGAGCAGTGGCGAGACAGGAGAGGTCTGTTCACCATGTGGGACCCTCGCTGGCAGGCCGGGATCGAACCGGTGCAGCAGAGGCTGCAGACAGCTTCACAGCGCAGCGCTCAACTGCCTGTGCCACCAGGGGAGGCCCGTATTGGGGTTAATTTGATGCATCATTTAATATATAATCACATACAATAAATGGTTTCTTGCACATTATTCATAAAACAATTTTTCTATTTAACAGGCATGATGAGAGCAAGATCAGAAAAGCTTACTTCAGACTTGCACAGAAGTACCACCCTGATAAGAATCCAGAAGGGAGGGTATGTACTGCTTTGCAGTTAGAGGTTTGGGTTGACTTTCCTTTGGCTCTGTTACTGTTTTAGGCAGATAAAGGATGGACTCAACCTTTGCAGTGTGTACCTTGTAATATAGGCCCACATGTTCCATGTGTCGCCTACATGCCCATGTTTTCCACATGAATAGAAATGCTCTAAAACTACATCAAGTAGTAAACCAATAAGATATTGTTGACAGGAATCAAGAAATAGATTAAGGAACATAATATAGTTCACTATTTTCAAAATTTGACTTTAGGAGACAGATGGAGGCATAAGTCCTAGCCCTAACCCAATTGACTTTGTGACCTTAGGCAATTGAGTTAACGTCATCTTAAAAAATGAGAATGTTAATGGTGTACATTTCATATGACTGTTCTCAGAATTAAATGAGGTGATGCACATTAAGTAGTTCGCACAGTGCTAATATGCACATTTCATATGACTGTTCTCAGAATTAAATGAGGTGATGCACATTAAGAGTTCGCACAGTGCTGATATGCTGTCGATGGTATAAATCAGTGAAGAAGAATTTTTGGGTAAATGATGTTGAGATCACTAAATAGCTGTTTGGGGAAAAAAAGTTTCACCTTGAACATATACCAGTTAGAATGAATTCCTTACTGTTAAAAAAATAATAACTAGAAAAGGTATTGATAAATACAAATCAGCTGTGTTTAAGTTGTGATTTGGAACAATCCAAATTAAAAATTAATTATCTTTGGCTGCATACAGGATATGTTTGAAAAAGTAAACAAAGCATATGAATTTTTATGTACCAAATCAGCAAAAATAGTGGATGGACCAGATCCAGAGAATATAATTTTAATTCTGAAAACACAGAGCATCCTCTTCAATCGTCATAAAGAAGGTAAGGCTTGTGTTAGTCTCAAATTTTAATTTATTCTCCAGCTAATTCTACCATGTTAACTTATTTCTAGCATATTTTAATCTAACTTTTTTTTAAAGATTTATTTATTTATTTATTTATTTATTTATTTATTTATTTATTTATTTATTTATACAAGCACTGGGTACAGTCAGAAGCACGGGAGGGTGAGAGAATTCACCAGAGCCAGAGTGGGGAACACAACAGGCAGACTGACAAAATACACTGCTGAGGGGAGCTGTGGGCGGCAGGAGAGGTCTGTGCACCATGTGGGACCCTTGCCCAGCGACCGGGGATCGAACCGGCGCTATAGAGGCTGCAGGCAGCTTCGCAACCCAGCACTCAACCGCTGCGCCACCAGGGAGGCCCTAGATTTAGAATTATTATTGCAAAAGCCTCATATAGCAAAAGTCTAGTTTTCTTTAGCAAGACCCAGAATCCTTATTTATTTTATACTATTCACTTTTTAACTATGGTTTCCAGTATTTTGCATTTCCAACAAGGTTTTATTATTCCTTCCTATGGAATTTCCATTATGTGGAGGTATTTGGTTAGTTTTTATCCATTTAGCAGCAAACATATTAAAGAAAGAGAAATATGGATCTGGAATTTAGGGATCATTTAATGTTTTGCTTAAATCACAATTTGGGTGCATGATGTTGTAGAAAAGAGAGGACAGTGGGGATTTGTCAAGCAAGAGAAGTGCTGGGTGATTGAAGCAAGTGGAATTGCTAGTATGGTATAGCACTTTGGTCATTAAAGAGAACAGTCATTAACCGATTTTGCTTTTAGTTATACGTCATTTCCCATGAGTCAGAATGAGTTTAAAAGTGGCCTTTCAAGCCATTGGGTTTTTTTGTGGTTTTTTTTTTTTTTTTTTAAGTTTGACTTATTTGTTTATGCATAGAAGAACTGGGATGTAGGCCAGAGGTGCATGGGGTGAGAGGACTCACCAGAGAGAGTGGGAAGCAGAACAGGTGGATCTCCTGAAATACTCTGCTAAGGGGAACAGTGGGCGAGACAGGAGAAATCTGCTGCACCATATGTGAGTTAGCTCCCTGGCAGGGGATCAAACTCAGGCCACAGCAGTGATAGCGCTGAGACTTAACCCCTGTACCACCAGGGAGGCCCCAACAATTGGCTATTTGTTTTAATGGCTGATAGCTCTATGTTAACCACATAATGTGACTTACCGTTGGTTTGTGTTGTTTTTTTTTAAAGATTTGTTTATGCATGTAAGAACTGGGGTATAGGCCAGAGGTGCAGGGGTGCAGAGACTGAGTGGGGAACAAAACAGGCAGACTGACTGAAATACACTGCTGAGGGGAGCAGTGGGCGAGATGGGAGAGAGCTGCAATGCCATGTATGGAGCTTCCTGGCTGGCGGGGGATTGAACTTGTGCTGCAGAGGCTGTGGATAGCTTAACAGTGCTGTGCTTAACCCTTTGTGCCAGCAGGGAGGCCACATGATTTTTCAGCCTTACCATAAGGCTGCTTATACCCTGATTCCTCATTGAAAGGATTTAACATTAATTCACATTTTTTCCTTTCCATGTACATACATGAACATATGTATGTTAGGACTGTTAGGACTAGTTCCTAGGCAGTTTTTTAAAAAGCCATCTTAGTAATGAGTTAATATAAGGCAGATTATTCGTAATCCTCAAAAGCCAGAAAGTTTTGTGCTAATTTTAAGTTTACTTAAAATGTCATAGCCAATTTACTTGCATCTTCCTATCTAATAGGTTACTTTTAAAAGAAACAGAATGAAAGGTACAGAACAGTGGGACTCCTATACGTTTTAGCTTTCACTTTTTGCTTATCAAAATTAGCTAAATACAGTTAATAAAATTTCTGTTTTGTATTTCTGACAACAAATTATATCTAGTATTTTCAAACATTTACTTTATGATAACTGTAAAATAGAAAAACACACTTGTTATCCAGAAAGCATAATATGAAATGTTCACTTTCATTAAAATAAAATGTCTCTCACGGTTTCTTCATTATAAAGAGGTGTGAGTATCACGAGTGTTCCAACTTCTGGTATAAGGCTCTGTCTTGCTCTCCGTGATCAGATGAAAAGTTACAAAGATCACATTACAACGAGAATGTAGATATTCTGCAAAGGATCAAAACATATTAAGTTCATTTAAATCTACCAGAAAATGTTCTTTTTCTAGGGGAAACATTTTAGAGAAATCAACTAAACAAGTTTCAGGAAAGGAGGGATCCAAGGGATTTGTACTAGCTTAATTTCTTTTTTTTTTAAATGGAGTTGGGGGCCTCCCTGGTGGTGCAAGGGGTTAAGACACAACCTATGAAGTTGTCCACAACCACTGCAGCATGAGTTCAATCCCCAGCCAGGGAGCTACCCACATGCCGCAGTAGTCAGTCTCCTGATTTGCCCACTGCTCCCCACAGCCAGGTATTTCAGTCAATCCTCCTGTTCGTTCCCCACTCTGTCTCTGGTGAATCCTCTCACTCCCCGCACCTCTGGCCTGTACCCCAGTTCTTGTATGCATAAATAAATCTTAAAAAAAAAAAGGAATTAGGAGACATTTAAGATGTTGAATATTTTGTTTTTTTAAAAGGCAACACAATTCTTGGTTTTTGTTTTGTTTTTTCCCTACACTAACTTTTGGTTATTTCAGATTTGCAGCCTTATAAATATGCAGGATACCCCATGCTAATTAGGACTATAACAATGGAAACTTCAGATGACCTCCTTTTTTCAAAAGAATCACCATTACTCCCTGCTGCTGCAGAGCTGGCTTTTCATACTGTGAACTGCTCAGCCCTCAATGCGGAGGAGCTCCGGAGGGAGAATGGAATAGAGGTAATTATGGAGTGACTTTTGTGCTTACCTGTGAGCTAGTTTGGATTTCTTGTATGACTCTAGGCAACACAGAATCCACCAAATGCAAATATAGTTGATACAGTTTCTTTCATTTATTCTAACAGATAACATAATGTCATCATATTTTAGTACCAAAATTAGTAATTGAATTGGAGCTTTATTTCACGATGTGAGTTGGATATTGAATTCAAATTAGTAAACGTAACATTGCTTAAAAAGTTCACTTGTTAACAAATGTTAATTGAGAAACTGTTGGTATTTGATTTTTGCCAGCTAACATTAAAAAATATTAATATTTTAATTCCTATCAGTAAAAGCTTTGACTTCAAGTCAAAAGAGAGCTAAATGGCTGCCTGACTTCTCTCTCTGCAGGTCTTACAAGAGGCATTCAGTCGCTGTGTGGCTGTCTTGAATCGTTCTAGTAAACCAGGTGACATGTCAGTGCAGGTGAGGCTAAAACATACAGAAAATAACAAGAAAATGACACTAGACCAGTAGTTTCAAACTTTTAACTTCTTTGAGAATTCCTTCACCCACATGCCCACTCCTCCTGCCTGCCCGCCACCTGCCATAGGGTTTAAAGTTCATTGGGTCTGGAGTAAGGACCTCAGAATATGCTTTTTAAACAAATTGCTAGGTGATAATGATGCTGCTGGTCTGCGAATCTCACTTTAAGAAGCACTGCACTAAACCACCTATGATCTTTTGACTTAGTTTTTGTTCCCCTTAAAGAATGGCTGATGAACCTTTGTCTCCAGACCCAGTTTCAAACATTTATTGCTTTGCCATTTTTTCCCCACATACCTTCTAACCACTTCCCTGCTTCCCTCCCCCATCAGTAATATTTTAATTGACTAATTTTCTGCTAAGGTTAAAATCATTGAGTCCAAGGGCCTCCCCGGTGGCGCAGCGGTTTAGCGCTGGGTTACGAAGCTGCCCGCAGCCTCTGCAGCGCTGGTTCGATTCCCAGCTGCTCCCCGGCCACCAGAGGAGGGCCCCACATGGCGCGCAGACCCCTCCTGCCGCCCGCTGCTCCCCTCAGCAGTGTACCTCGGTCCTTCTGCCTGCTCTGCTCCCCGCTTTGGCTCTGGTGAATTCTCTCACCCTCCCGCGCTTCTGACTGTACCCAGTGCTTGTATAAATAAATAAATAAATCTTAAAAAAAAAAAAAAATCATTGAGTCCTTAATTCATCAGAAATTCATTAAGATCATTGTAGAATGTACTTCTTATGTGGCCCTTTATTTAAACCAACAAAATGTAGACTATAATACAATAGAGTACAGACTTTTTGAGTTTTACTGTGTTTTGAAGTACCTAAATAGAATTTGATTCTTCAAAGTAAATAACCTGAACATAAATTTCTTGATCCAGAGGTCAGCAAACTTTTTTTATAATGGCCAGAGAGTAGATATTTGAGGCTTTCAGACTACATAGAGTCTATTGCATATTTTTATTTGTGCTTCTTTGAAATCCTTTTAAAATGTGAAATTCTTCTTTGGTCCTTAGTCATACAAAAGCAAGTCATTTGGCTTGAATGTCACAGTGGCCTTGGTTGTCAGCCCTGCTTCCGTAGAGGTCTTAGCAAAGGCTGATGAGCCGATGGAGTGGTTTACTTCTGGAACATTGTAGCCTTTACTCATGAATCTCTGCTGATTTGATTTTTTGCACAAGTGACTTCTTTTTTCTCTGTTGTCTGTCTGCAGGTGTGTGGACACATAAGCAAATGCTATAGTGTGGCTGCTCAGTTTGAAGAATGCCGAGAGAAAATCACAGAAATGCCTGGCATCATCCAGGATCTCTGTCGGGTGCTGTATTTTGGGAAGGTAGAGTTCATCTTTAATGCCGTCTGGATACAGTCAGCAAAGGGTTTTATTGTCAAGTAGCCTGTCTCCAATTTATAAATAAGTCATTTTAAAGTAGATTATTTGGATGTCCAAAAATGTATTTTGAGATGCGTTGTGAAGAATTTTGTGTCTAGATTGGCCCACAGTGAATAAGACTAGAGTGATATATCTAGAGGGTAGAGGCAAGAAAGAAAGTCTAGACTACATCTAAAAAAGTAAGGGACCAGTAAAACCTGAAACTTAGTCAAGTCACTGCCTGGTAGGGAGGCTTTAAGGGATCTGAGAGCTTCCTGTTTCTTCCCAGTCCAGTACTGCTGAGGAATTTGACTAGTGCAGATAATGATAGGTGACTGGAAGGAGAAGATTTCTTAGTAGATAACTGGGCAGAGTGAAAGGGGTGTTGGAACAGAACAGGATTGGACTGCTTATCTTGGACTGAAGTACCTAGAAATAAAGAATCTGCAGAAAATCTCTCCTTGGCTTTATTTACTTGCTGCACTGAAGTGTGTTTAATAGGAATACAAACTGATACAAATATCTGTAAGGTAAAGTGTAAAGTATCCTTACAGTTAAGATAATGAGCATACGAGTTGCTATAAATATCACTTTTTAAAAAAATTTAAAAATATAGAAAGTGAAAAGAAAAAAACCCTAGTCTTTGAACACCAGGCTCAAAGATAGTGATTTTGTGTGTCTTTACAGAGTTGCTTTTTTTTAGGCTTTAAAGGATATAGCATTAAATATTAAATTGGAATTGAAAATGTTAGAGGAGGGAAACAATTTGCACAATAAGTTAGCTAGCTTGACATAATAAGCATACATTCTCTCCAGGTTGCTGTTCTCGCCATGATTAATTCCATCCCTCTCCTTCTCTCAGAGTATCCCACGAGTGGCCGCTCTCGGGGTGGAATGTGTTAGTTCTTTTGCTGTGGATTATTGGCTACAGACACACCTATTTCAGGCTGGAATTTTGTGGCATCTGCTAGGTTATCTATTTAATTATGACTATACACTGGAAGAGAGCGGCATTCAGAAAAGCGAAGAAACGAATCAACAGGTAACTCTAGCACTGCTTTAATTCTGAACTTGAACCCAAACCATTCGTTAATGTGAAGGCAAAACTCCAGCTATTCAGAACCCCCATGATTTAAATTATTTTTCAGATTAATTCAATTTATTACTGTTTAAGCCCCAAAACTTTTTATCTTAACCACTCGTGCTGGAAGGTTTGAAGGCAAGGGGGTTTGTAATAGCATATAGGAGACATAACTTAATCTTTTCTTGATTGCTCAGTCACCGTCATGCTTATAAAATTATGGCTGTTTTCACCCAGGGAAATACAGTGATCCTCTCAGACTGTTGGATCAAGCTCCCCCAAACACTTGAGTTCTCTTCTGATTTCTTAGATACTTTTTATGTCTCGTCTTTCCTGTTCACTGTCATTCACTATTCACATTGTCAGTATGTTACTCAACAGGCATGTCTACCTACCTGTCCTCTGCTGCTCACCCTACCCCCAGTGTGCTCACATACTATGTTAAGTATAAATGAGAACACAGCTTCTCATGGTCTTTTGTAAGAATAAGAGAAAAACCTCTGGGGCCTCCCTGGTGGCGCAAGGGGTTAAGATGCAACTATGAAGCTATCCTTAGCTACTGCAGCACGAGTTTGATCCCCGGCCGGGGAGCTACTCACATGGTGTAGCAGACCTTTCCTGGCTCACCCGCTGCTCCCCTCAGTGTATTTCAGTCAGTCTGCCTATTCTGTTCCCCACTCTGTCTCTGGTGAATCCACTCACCCCTCTGGCCCTGTACCCCAGTTCTTGTATGCATAAAGAAATCTTAAAAAAGAAAAAGAAAAACCTCTGATGCATACATTTTCCAACATCAGTGTTGGGGACTCATGTGCTTTTTTGTTTGCTTTCTGCTTTTCAAATATGTTCTATACAGTTGTGGTTTCATAAAGTTATTGTGTTATTACCTAGAAGATAACAGATCTTCTTTAATGTCTTAATTTTTTTGTAACAGGAAGTAGCCAATAGCCTTGCCAAACTCAGTATCCATGCTTTAAGTCGCCTGGGAGGGTATCTACCTGAAGACCAAGCAACCCCAGAAAATCCAACCATAAGGAAAAGTTTAGCTGGCATGCTGACACCATATGTGGCCAGGAAACTTGCTGTGATCAGTGCTACTGAGGTATGTGCTTTAGAGACAGTCTGGGTTTTGCTAAACGTTGCAAGGTCTTGAAGTAGTAAAAGTACATAACAATATTACGTTGATTGATGTAGGAAATCTGAAAATTGGTAATGTTCATGTGCTTGTTCTCTCAACCAAGAAATTTATTATTGTAGATTGATGCTGATACTGCTCTACAAGGGTAAATTCACTTCCTGTTTCTTGCCTGTGGAACTATCATAATTCTTACTAGCCTTGAAGAAGGTTAATAAGACCGTAAAAAGAGGACAAGAGAGTGAACTTGGAATGAATGTTATGTCATGTAAACAGCAGAGGACTGGGAGTCAGGAGAATGTGGCACACATTCTTCACAAAAATAAGTATAACCTTGACAGATCTCCCAACCTCTTTAACCTCTTTTTGTGAGAATCATTGAGACACAATCTATGGATATAGCATTAGAAAAATAAACTATTGAAACCCATTAAACAGAATACTGTGAATCTTTACAGTGTAAAGGCATATTTAAAGACATTTAAAAGATACTTAAAGTTGAAAAACAAAATCCCCTTTTTGGTATTGAGAAGCCAGATGGATGGGTGGACCTTTTCCAATAGTTTGCTGCAGTTACCCTGAATGGCAGAATTGTGAGCTGTTTTTATTTTATCTTGTTTTCTTCTGATGATAGATAATATTTTTGTAATCAAGAAAGTCCTCAAGATTCCAAATGTGAAGTATTTTTAGAATTTAAATGGCTTATTTGTTACTTAATCCAACCTGGTTGAGAAAGGTGATTGCTTTTCAGTGTCCCTGAGTAGGAGAGAAGAGCTTTAGATGCCAGTCTTGATCTTTGTTCTATTTCTGGACTTTGTATTCACCAATGTGATACATTTTAGCTGACTGAAAACATTCCAGAAATACTAGCAAATTGATGATTAACTGCTACAGAAAAAAGATGTAGCATTTCAAAATAGTAACTTGAATTTCATCTGGATTTAATAGTTAAAATATGTTTGACATGCTTATTCATGTAACTAAGAAACTGCCAAATATCAGAAGTTTTACAGTTCTAAAGATTTTTTTTCAAACATTTTAACTAATATTTAACATTTTAGCTAATATTTAACATTTGAAAACAAAGGTTGAATGGCTTTGTGTAAGATAGAGGTAAAAACCCAGAATCTATGGGACACAGCAAAAGCAATACTAAGAAAGAAGTAGGTATACAGCGATACACGCTCACAGAGGGACACATCCACATCAAGAAACAGAAAGAGTTCAAATAAATAATATTCTGTCTCACCTTGAGGAACTCAAAAAGATGAACAATCAAAACCCAGTAGAAGGAAGGAAATAATAAAAATTGAACAGAAGTAAATGAAATAGAAATAAAAGAGACAGTCCAAAGATTAATGAAACCAAAAGCTGATTCTTAGAAAAAAATAAACAAAATAGACAAATCGCTAGCCAGCCCACACACACACACCAGAAAAGAAAGGGAAAAAGGTCAAACAGAATCAGGACTGAAAGAGGGTAAGTTACCGCAGACTTACCAGAAATTCAGAGGCTCATAAGAGATTGTGAACATGTGTTTGCCAATAAGTTGAGTAGCTTAGAAGAGATGGAGAAATTCTTAGAAATATACAACCATATGAGACTGAATCAGGAAGAAATAAAAAACCTGAACCGACTAATTACAAGCAAGGAAATTGAAACAGTTATTACGTCTCCCAAGAAAAAGTTAAGGAACAGATGGTTCCACTAGTGAATTCTGCCAAATCTTCAGACAAATGACTTACTACTGAGCCTTCTCAAAGGCTTACCAAAAATTGAGAGGGACTACATCCAAATACCTCTTATGAGATCAACATTATGGATCTTCTCAGTAGATGTGAGTAGTTCAGCTAACAATAAAACATGAACTCTTGCCGTGGGTGACAATGTGGATGCAAATGGAGGGGATTATGTTCATCAGATTCGTAGAAGGAGAAAGACAAATGCCAGATGGTGTCTCACTTATATGTGGAATATATAGAAACAAAACAAAGGGGCAGATAAAACCAAAGCAATAACAAACCCTAGTAATCTGACTGTTGGAGGGAGGCTACCGGAGTAGGGGGGAGCAAAGTGGGGATGGGGCACAATGGACTGTAATGGAGGACTGTGGGTGTCTTGGTGATGTGTGTGGTGTGACAAACACCTAAAGACTATGGATGACCCTAAGCCTCTAAATCGTGTAGTGTTGTAAGCCAGTGTTGCCTCAGTTTAAAAAACTAGGGGAGGTAATAACCACTGCTTTCCTCCTAGCATAGAGCTCTGTAAATGTAAAATGTAAGCAATTTTTATTAACACATTTAGACTAGAGTATGTTTCTGTAACACTTATAATCAAAGAGAACTAAACAAAGGGAAAGTGCGCTCGCCAGCTAAGCAGTTACAGACAATCCGCAGAACTGCTTCGTGCGGCCTTGTGCAGGCTTGCCCGAGGGAATGTGAATGGAGTATCTGCCCATGAATGTGACTGCCCCTTCCCAGGTGTGTGCTTCCTAAAGATGTGCATCTTATTTTCAAGTGTGTGTGAAAGGTAGTATGATGTGATTCTTCTCAAACTTCTGTTTACTGAGTGTCTAGAAAATGCAGAATACCATGCATATTTGTTTACTGATACACAATAATTTTTGTTGTCTTTTATGGAGGCAAACAATCTAATTTTTACAATAGCAGAGCAAATGCTAGGAAGGTGGAGTCAAACAGATTGAAGTTTGAATCCCAGTGTCACCACTTAAAGTTTGTGAAAACTCAGCAAATTAATTTGATCTCTCTCAGCCTTGATTTTTCTCAGTTGCAAAATAGATTATCAACAAACTTATCAGAATTGTCAAGATCCTTACTGTGATCCCCTGCATTTCACGCACATATTACAGCACTTGGCATGGAATAGGCGGTTTAATAAATGATACCTTCAATGATGACTTTTTACTAAATGTTACAAAATAGTAATATTCTGTCTCCTAGATTTTGAAGATGCTTAACAGCAACACAGAGAACCCCTACTTGATTTGGAACAATTCTACAAGAGCAGAACTACTTGAATTTCTTGAATCCCAACAAGAAAACATGATTAAGAAAGTATGTTACTGTTGTGTACATTTCGTGGGTAACTTTAATGGGGTCTCTGAAAATTTAACTTAATATTGATGGCGCAGAAACCCATTGCTTCTCCATTTGGTGTTAATCAAGCCTTTTTACCTCCTAACATTTGGCCCATTTAAGAACAGCGTGCTTACTGTATTTAATCATACATTTGGATTTGTTGTTACTACTTAAGTAGAGCTGTTTTCTCTTTTAACTAGTTTTTGTATCCAGGGTACTGTTTGTTCTCTTTATCCTCTTTTCCCGCATAAATCAAAATTGCTTTCTGGTATCAAAATTGAATAATTCCTCCTATTCTGCCACCTTCTAGGGGTGAGGCTATTAAGCCATGGAAAAAAACAAGTTGGTAGGCTGGGAGATTAGAAACAGATGTGGATAATCCATATGTGAGATAGTTGAGTCTTTGTGGTTTAGAGGACAGTTTTGTTTCTGAGTCTGAATTTATTAGAGAATAACCATCACTGTTGTCTCCTGAATTATTTGTTTTTAACTTGCCTTGTGATACTCAGAACTTCTTAGAGACAGAAGCTTTGAGAATGCATTGCTGAGAATAGGTATTGTGGTCCTGTACATCATCTGTCCTTTTATTAGAGGAGAAATAATAACATCATCTCTTTTACGTTCTTTATTATTTCAGTTCAACCTGAATTCTGTGTGATTTCTATCCATTCAAACTGTTTTTCTCCTGTTGTTCTTTTCTCTCTTTTCCTTAAATGGATTCACTTCTTGATTTCTCAGCCAATATATTGCCTGTCTTTTTTATTCAATGACTGTTTTCCAGCACATTCATATAACAGTTGCTTTTTCAAACCCAATCCAAATGTGTTCATTTCTTCTGTTTATCAGCCTATGTCTGACTAGGCCAAGTGTCTGCTGGATGGAGTGAGAAGAGCCAAGCAGTTCTTACTTTATAAACACTAGTTCTAAGATACTTCATTGGCTGACCTTTGTGAACTTTTGAAATATTAAAATGAGCTATCTTAATCTTTGGATTAAAAAAAAACATAATTTTATGCCTATTTTTCCAGAGTTCATATTACTAGTTATGAACACTAAAATTGCATTGAGTACACCCATTTTTCCTCTGGAAAAATGATCAGATTTTTCAAGTTATCAGTTATTAAACTGAAAATGGATATATTTATAAAGCAGACACCATTTAACAGTTTATTTCCTTTTCTTAAAAGGGTGATTGTGACAAAACTTATGGATCAGAATTTGTCTACAGTGATCATGCCAAAGAACTTATTGTGGGGGAAATTTTTGTTAGGGTGTATAATGAAGTCCCTACTTTCCAGCTAGAGGTAAGCTCTCTACTTTTTTAGTTTTGTCGATACTTTGATTTGTTATTGAAAGCTACTCTTTTTTTTTATGCTGTACAGAATGAAATAATGCCTTTTCTCTGCCAATTGCTTTGTACTAACCTGGGTAAGTGATGGGGTAGCCATTGAAGTTCTCTTTATTTTAAGTACTGAAGAATTTAGTTTTGTGGCGGCTGAAATAGAAGTTATTCCTTGCCCAGCTATTCCTTTTGTTTTGTGCACAGTGATACCCACTGTGTCATGTAGAGATGTCATCAACTCATTAGTCACTCTTGGGAGTGCAGAGCCATTTGCACACTCACCCCATAGAATATCAGGCCACCAGAAGTCCTTCGCTAATCTGTTGTTAGAAGAAAATAAGAAAATATAGGTGGAGAGCAACAAGGTATTTTAAAAGATGCCTGAGCTACATCCCTTGTGATGATCCCAAATCATTTTCAGAAACCACCAAGGGCCTTTTCTTCTTGGGGATCATGTAGGAATTTTTTATTGTGCTTTCTTTTTTGTAGGGGGTGACGAGGAAGTTTTGGTGGGTGACTGTTTTGTAATGAAAGAAGAAATGAGACTGTTTTAGAGCTTGCTCTTGGGGTAAAAAGGGAATTTATTAGACCAGATGGGAGTATGTCAGCTTCTGTACCAGGTCTCTCAGATGTTGGGACAAAAATCATTGCAAAACACTTTCTATTGCAGTTGGGTTTGTTTCCTGCTGGCCATGCCTCCCTACCCACTTGATCCATAGATATATTCGAACTTATGTATAATTTAATCATGTTCATGGTCTGAAGGTTTTTGTCTTTGCTATGGAGTCTCTTGTTATATATTTCCAAGGGCTCAATTGTTTTAAAATATTTCTCTACTTAGGTTCCAAAAGCGTTTGCTGCAAGTCTGTTGGATTTTATTGGCTCCCAGGCCCAGTACCTCCACACTTTCATGGCTATCACACATGCTGCAAAGGTGGAATCTGAGCAACATGGAGACCGCTTGCCAAGAGTGGAAATGGCTTTGGAGGCTCTAAGAAATGTCATAAAATATAATCCAGGTACATCACTATATCTTGATCAGTAACATTCTTAAAATAGACAAGCTCTAAAAATTCCGTATTTGACTTTTATCAAGGAAAATCATACCTGGTTGTTATGCTGTTATGCTTTGTATAGGATTAAGAATTGACTCCCCTACCTATAAACAGTAGGCCAGAAAGAGAAATCAAGGCACCATGATTAGAAAAATGCATATCTCCTAAGAGAAAATGAGTCTCAGTTAGTTGGAAAGGCAGAATAACTTGATAATGTTGTGTAAGTGCTTAGATTAGACTTACGCATTAGGTATTATAAAAGTTAGTTGTTGTTCTTAAACATCAATAAGAGGACATTTCCAAAAATCTCCAGGGAGATGGCTGAGTAAAAATCTAAAACCTTTTTTCCAAAAATAATTTAGATAGCAAATGTAGTCTATAAAATCGCAAATAATAAAAATTTAATTTGAATTTCTTGAAAACCCCAGTTTTTTAATTAACATTTAATGTTACCTTTCAAGTACTTATTTTTTCAGTTTATATTATGGTACTACTAAAATTGAGTTTTTAGTTATTGCCAACAAATGATTCAAATAAAATAACCAACTGTAAGTAAATGTTGTTAGAAAAATTAGTGATTCCCAAGATATATTGGGATGTTATTAAAGGCCATGTTATAAAAGCAAAAGAACACTTCATTTCTTACTGTTTGAAATTGGTAGAGTAGAACATTACTAGTGTTATATTAGGTACAAAGTAATTGTAACAATGCAGATTGTTGAGTTGGAACTTATAAATGAGAGAGGGCTTATGCAGAAATTTTATTGTAATGTATGTATCAAGAATGAATGCTCTTAAAATTTGGAAGTATGGTTTTTGTCTGTATATATATACATTTGTATCTATAATAATTCTAACCTGGTAAGAAGTGAATTTTAGAATATTTTCGGATTCAAGTTGAGGGAGCGTCTTAGTGAATTATTTTATGAAGCCTAGAAAAATTACAGATTACGAGGTACATGTTACTGCTGTATAGCAAAAAATACATAGAACAAAGCCTTATTTAATATCCATTAAATATGCTAGTAAACAAAATGTTAGTAACAAAATGCTAGTAAATCAGTGGGTATGGGCTTTGAAGTGGATAGGAATAAGCATGCTATTCAGTTTTATGTGTCTTCACAAGGAGTCCTTCATGTGTGTCCATCAGCTCTTTGTAATGTGTCTTCAAATGGCAGAGTTTTAACTTGGTGTTAATTAAAAGCCAGATGATGTCACACTCTGCCAAAATACAGTTAGATTGGGGAGGATAGCCCCAAAGTCTGGAGGCAAAGAGTAAAGCTACTACCTTACACCTTTGATTTGGGAGTTGGATTTGGATTGTGTGTTTGATAAATTTCTTTTAATCTGAGAGTTAGAGGTGAGTCTGTAAATGAAAACAAATAAACCTAAGAAACTCTAATATCTTACCCTTGCCTCTTAACATTTACTGTTTCTAGATACTTAAGTCATTTCATGTCACAAATGATGAGAAAGGCTTCTCAGCAACTTGTATTTAACAGTAAAAGTGTGTATCTGTTCTGAAGGTTCATAAATTAGAACATCCTCTTGGAAATAAAAAATAAAAAAAACAAAAAACATTTTGTTCATACTCCCCAGGTTCTGAAAGTGAATGCATTGGGCACTTTAAATTAATATTTTCTCTTCTCCGAGTCCATGGTGCTGGTCAAGTGCAGCAGTTGGCTTTAGAGGTAAAAGAATTTTGTTTTAAAAATCATGTTATCTTTCCTGCCATTACTGTGTATGGTATAAGCCTTGATTTGTCGCCCTCTCAAGCTGAGTGAACGTTTGCATGGTGCTGTGGGTTTTTTTTTTCCTTCATTTTGCCTATGAAGCCAAGTGAATGTGTTTCTAAAATTTGAATTAATATGCTCATTTTGAAGAGCAAACATTGTACAGCAGTTTCCATCTGCTCATGGCAGTGTGCGGTAGAACTTGGGATGGGTTGTACTCTGTCACGTAGTGTGGGTTAAGGAATAGGTTTTTTTTGGAAAGCTTAGAATCTGCAGATAAAACAGTAGGAGAAGACAGGCTTCCCTGATGTTTCATTGTCCTCACACAGAGAGACTTGTTGAGCCCAGGCTTGTGATCTAGAGGGAAGACCCTGCCTGCTCCCCCTCCGGTGGTGCTTTTCCTTCCTGTAGGTCTAGAACAATAGCACCTTTTCAGCGAGGGTTACAGTGACTGGAGCATGATGCTATTGCAGAAGCTACCTAGGAAAGCCAGCTGCCCAGCAGGCCAGGAGAAGTGGGGGCCCTTCTTCCAGGGGAATGAAACTGCTCAGCCCTGGGAAGCTGTTTGGATGCAGCCCTTTCTTCTGGCAGAAGCAGGAAGTCTCCGATCACAGGTGGCTCAATGCCAGACAGCTCAGAGGGGGCACCCAGGAGCTTATTTTCAGATGATCCTACTTGTAACACAATTTATTTGAAAGAATAACAAGTTGTGAATGGTGTGTGAATGATTTGTATGATGTTTTTAGATTGCATTTTGTTTTAAAAGACATTTTTAATAGAATAATACAAGTCAAAAATGTCAAAAATCTTAAGCAAATTCTTTTTGTTAAGGGTCATGCTTCTCTACTTAAAGCCTTTAAGTACCTTGTAACTTTTTAAATAAACATTAAATCTTGGATACATTGCTTTGAAATGGTTCAAGTTAAAAATGACATTGATCTTTTTATATGGACTACAGAATTTAGACTTGAGAGGTCATATTTGAAAGAATAGCATGTTTACTTTGTTATAATGGAAAGATAGACCCATTTTGTTGTGCTGGTTGCTGGAGATATCCCCACTCTCCCTCCAAATGCAAAAAAAGAGTCCCAGTAGTGAGGATAGTTACCTCCCTGCCACTCCCCACCCGAATCTGGTTGGAGAGCACTCTGGTGTACACTCTTGCTGCCCTGTAGTTCTGGAGCATGCGCTGGTGTGCATTTATGGCTGCTTAGAAGATCTTACAAGGCCTATTCAGGATTGTGAATGGGTGCTAAATTATTTGTTAAATAATTACATTTAATTCTTGCCTCTAAATTAATAGGAGGCTATTGTACATAATACATACATGATCATTAACACTTTCTATTATTTCTCAAAAGATCAGAGTAACAAAGCCAGTCTCCTAAAATGACTCTTTGTAAAATTAAATACTTTATCTTCCAAATGTTTTTGTTTTATGATGTCTTAAATTTATTTAGATCCAACTTAAATTGATGTAGGTCTGAAATTATTTCTGAATCTAATTGTCCGGTTGATTAACTTTCAGGTTGTGAATATAGTGACGTCTAACCAAGATTGCGTCAACAATATTGCTGAGTCAGTGGTTTTGTCCAATTTACTGGCTCTTCTACATTCATTGCCATCAAGTACGTATCTCGGCGGATAGAATTGTAGAAGCCACAGCTCAGCCAACCAGAGAGAAGTAGTTTCTCAGATGATACAGAACCAGGCCTCTGCTGACATGTTTGCATTATTTTGATTTTGTTTAAGTGGTATTCTTTATGCCAGATTTGCTTTCCTAATTACGTTTTACATAGATTAATAAAATTCTTTTGCATTTCTTTTATCAAAATTTTAAAGTTGGAGCAAGAGAGCTTCAAAAGCAAAGGAAAATAACCTAGGATTTTCAATTTGTTGGAAATAATCTCCACATAAGTAGTTGAGATTGGTATAATATTCCATGGTTTATTAAAAACATAATTGGTCTTGGATGATAGAAAATTAGCCTAAGATAGAAATTAATGTGTGTAGCTTTTAGTTATTGTTATTGGTACCTTAAAGATTTGATGCTGATAAATACTGCTCCCGCCAAGATGAGAGTAATTAAAAAAATTAGCCAACCTGGTTTCTTGAAAACAGCCTGCACTTCTGTAGGTTCCGGGTAAACTGCACGGTTGTCTGGTGTAGTTGTATCCCCCACCTAATTTCTGGCATCCTCCGCTGTCATTGCCAGTTCATTATTCCTTTCCCACCTGTCATTGCCATTTGACTGTAGAAGAGTAAAGTGAAGTAGCCTGGTTTATTTCAGCGACAAGTGGCGAGGGGTACACACTGTGTCAGAAGGATGCTATCCTGTCTTAGGTCGAAACAGTGTCTTACAGCTGCCAATTGCTGCTTGTTCCCCCATGGCAGTGTGGAGTCTGGAGTCAGTCGGACTTCGATACAGAACCCAACCATACACATTAGCTAGTGAAACCATGGCCTGGCTAAGTTAGTCCTTGGCATCTCTTCCATAGCATGGCCGTGATTCTGCCTGTCTGCCGGCCTTACTGAAGACTTACATGTGATGCGGCTAGAGTAGTGCAGCACCCCAAGCGGCACCCCTGGTTCCTACAGTAACATGACATGGTGATGTGTTCCTTGAAATGTCTTTTATTCTGCAGGTCGTCAGCTTGTTCTGGAAACTCTTTATGCTTTAACATCAAGTACAAAAATAATCAAAGAAGCAATGACAAAAGGTAATGTATGGAGTTCTGGCTTATCTGTCACGTTCAGTATTCAGGAAGCTTGTTTGGGACTGTTTAGCACAGTCTGAGAATTAAAGAATGCTTTGGAAGGCTTACCGTTTGGAAAAATCTTTGAGTTGAAATGAGGTTGAAAATAAATTCTACTGATTAGAATAGACATACTCTTTCTGTTTAAACCCCCAATTCTTTTTTTCCTTTATAGGAGCTTTGATTTATTTGCTGGATATGTTCTGCAATTCGACACATCCACAAGTTCGAGCCCAAACAGCAGAACTTTTTGCTAAAATGACAGCCGATAAACTAATAGGCCCAAAGGTGAGCACAAGATTATTAAAGCTCTGTTACTTTTGATACTTTTGAATTTTACCAAAGTCTGGGATGGTGAAGTTAAGAAAATGACCTGGTGTGAAAGTTGGAAAATTTACATACCTGATATTGTTCCTTTACATTGCGGGTCTGAGAAAATTGCCATCAGAGAAGCCTCCCCTGGAATCGATAAGTCTTAAGAGAATGTTTGATTATGAGGATGAATTGTTCATCTCCTTGAAGAAAGAGCAGTGCGAGGATCAGCCTGTGGAAGTAGCTAGTTAAGGAGCTGGCGCCATGTCCTTCTGCACTCAGTGTCCAGTTAGTAAGACACATCTCCGGCAGGGAGGGGAGGGAGTCTTTACATGCATGAGTGAGCAGCACCTCTGCTTCCCAGTTCTGCCTTTTCATTCCTGGATCTGGAGATGACCAGACGGTCTTGGCACATGGTCCAGTTTGTAGAGCGGGAACTTGTTAAAACAAAATCTCTAAGTAGAATTCCATCCAGACACAAGTGTAATCAAAGCCCACTTTGTTACTGGTTAGCATCACAGGAATAGTGCCCACCTAAGCATCATCTGTCAGTCCGCACTCCGCACCTCAGACACATCTGGAGGTACCATGAAATAAGGATCCTGAACCTCCCCCTGCTGCCTGCCCCCGCTACATCCAGAGTCTGATTTTACGTTAGTGACACAAGTGAGATTCAGTTGGTTTTTGTTTTGTTCTTGCCTGATCTCACCATCTAGGCATTGAGAATCTGTCAGAGGACCTGAAATTGTTTTACTTTGGGAATAAGGTTAACATCTTATCAGCAGGGTTGATGAGAGATTAGATTTAGATACCTAGAGAAAGGGTCCACAGAAGTATGAATATTGACATTTAATATTGAGATTTCTTAAAATTAGAGTTGGGTAGTACATAATTGTAATATCTAATAGCTCAGTGTTTTAAAAAAATTTTTAGATGTTTAAAATATATACTGGAATTAACTATGAACCCGTCACTAATTTTTTGACCTTTGAAACACATGAGGGACAAATTTTATCATGGTGAATATATTTACACTTAAATTTTCTGTATAGGAAAAATACAAGTATCAGCTCCTTAACTGAATGATTTGCAGCAAGAGATTCTAGAACTGGGGTCAGTAAACTTTTTTCTCTTTTTGATAACAAGCTTTATTGAATTATAATTGACATACCATGCAACTCACACCTATAAAGTGTACAATTCAGTGAGTTGATTATATTCACTGATTGGACTGTCTTAATCAATTTTAGAACATTTGCATCAATCCACGGGAAATAAAAAATCCCACTCCCTTTAGCAGTCCCTTTCCATTCCTCTTGTTCCAACACCTAGCCCCCAGCACCCGCTACTTTCTGTCTATAGGTTTGCTTGTCTTATTTCATGTAAACAGAGCCATACAGTGTATGGTCTCTGGTGACGGACTTCCCTCGTGTGGGGTAATGTTTTTGAGATTCATCCATGTTGTAGCAAATGTCAACACTTCATTTTTTTTTTTTTTATTACCAAATATTTCATTGTTTAAATCCATCACATTTTGTTTTTCCATTTATCAATGGATAGAATGTGGATTATTTCTACTTTCTGGCTATTCTAACTAATGCCGCCATCAACATTTGTCAACAATTTTTATATGGACATGTCTTTTTGTTTCTCTGAGAATGGAATTTCTGAATGATAGGTTAACAGTGTTTAGCCTTTTGAGGATTTGTCAGGCTGTTTTCCAAAGTGACTGCTGCACCATTTTACATTCCCACCACAGCGTGTGAGGGCTCATATTGCTCTGCATCTTCTCTAGTACTTGCCCATTTGTGCATCTTGCTTAGAGAAATGTCTCTTCACAACCTTGCTCATTTTTTAATCGATTTGTCTTTTTACTATTGAGTTGTGATCGTTCTTATATTCTGGATACCAGTTGCTTATCAGATACATGATATACAAATATTTTCTCCCATTCTGTGCATGTCTTACCACTTTTTTGATGCCTCTTGACGCACTAAAGTGTTTAATTTGGGTGAAGGCCATTCTGTCTTTTCTGTTATTGTTGTAACTTGTATTTTTGATATCTCATCTAAGAAACCATTGCCAATTTTTTTTCAAGGGTTATGAATACTCACCTGCTTAGATTTACTCCTGTTATGTCTTACAGTTTTAACTCTTGTATCTGTGTCTTAAATCTAGTTGTGTTAATTGTTGTACACAGTGTGAGGTAGGGGTGGGGCTGCTATAACTCTTTAAGGGCCATGGAGTATTTTATACTTTGGTCCATGTGGTGTGTGCTACTTTTAACAGCAGAGCAGCCGGGCACTAGGTGCACGAAGGAATGGGCGAGGCTACATCCCAGTAAAACTGTCTGTACACAACTAAGTGGCAGGCCATATCGGCCCCTAGTTTTCAAACCCCTTTACTAGAACAACTGGGTATAATCTGACCATAACGTAAAGGCTTGTGCATTTTCTAATTTTTTTGACTTAAATGTTTAGTAGTATACACACTAATGAGTGATCACGTCCTCTTTGAATTTTGTCCTGATCAAGAATAGTGAAAACTTCCGAGTCTCTGGATGTTCTCTGTCATGTAACTAAAATTGTTTCCATTAGTTCATCCAATGTTGGAAAATTCAGAGCTAAATTTGTGGTACATCACTGGCAACTGTATGGAGCTTTTGATGTTTTTTGGACACTGACTTCTTATTAGTATAGTCTCCATTCATTCAAGCGAGTTTCTGAGCATCTGCTGTGTGCCAGGGGCTAAGCAGGCCAGGCCCAGGAGTGTTTCCATTAAGGTGAGATTTGAGCAGAGACTTGAATGACACTAGGAGAGATAACCATGTGAGGACCTGAGGAGGTCTTACCCTTTATTGTCCTTTCATCATTAAGCCCACGGTAATTTTTGGTATGTATGAGTGTGTTGGGTGTATTTTTTGGGCTGCTTTTTAAAATCCCTTTTGGAAAATAGCACGGTATAATTTTAAACAACACATCAGAAAAAGGGGGGACTGCACTAAAATGTACTTGGAAGACACAAAGGAGCCTAAGAAAAATGTGTGGGGGATGTGGCCCCCATGGCCTGGGGAGAGTGGGATAGGCCAGCTCAGGGCATCTGGGAAGGGGGCCTGGCATGTGCAGAGTGTGCTCTGGGGTCTTTACACACCAGTGAGAAAGAACTTGTTAAAGTTTCTTAAATTTGAGACCGAGGGAAGTGCAACCGGATGGGTAAGTAGGAGCAGGCTGTGATGAGTCTTGCTAAAGTTACCTCTGCATGAACCAAGGCTTACCTGTCCTCCACGCCAGAACTTGCGGACAATGGCGAGGGCCCGTGTCAGCCAAACCCAAGTTACGGTGGATTCCTTGGTAGGGAAGTGTAAGCCACAGACTGGGATGTTCCCAGTGGGTCTTCATCTTTTCTTAAACCCCCTCGCCTAGGTTCGAATCACATTGATGAAATTCCTCCCGAGCGTGTTCATGGACGCCATGAGAGACAACCCCGAAGCCGCTGTCCACATTTTTGAAGGGACTCACGAAAATCCTGAGTTAATCTGGAATGACAGTTCCCGAGACAAAGTGTCCACAACGGTCAGAGAAATGATGCTTGAGTAAGTAGCTGCGGCACAAGGTGGCCTTCCGGGAGCAGCCCTTTTTCTCCCTGACTCCTGCCTCGGAGACTTAGTCCAGAGGCTCGTGACAGGGTATGTTGTGACTGAGGTTTGATATTTCCCCCTCTCCTTTTTCTGTTTTTCCAAGGCACTTTAAAAATCAGCGAGACAACCCCGATATAAACTGGAAGGTAAAATACGCTTTTATTTATTTTAATACAACAGAAATTTATGTTGTCACAATTCTGGAAACCAGAAATCTAAAAGCAAGATGTTGGCAGGGTTGATTTGTTCTAAGGCTAAGGAATTTTACTTTAGTTTTTGTTGACATTTTAAAAAAAATTCCTGCCCATTTTAGTGGCAGCCTACTAGGTACTTTGCATTACGACACGTGGGTGTCCCCCAGAAAATTAAGGGTTTAAACACAAAGGTAAGACCTTTGCTTTTGAAGTGACTATAATCCAGTCAACTTTTCTGAACTTTATTAAGAGAAAATAAAAGTGATTATAATTTGATTATATTAATGACAGAGTAATTTCATTAACATTTCTTTAACAGGATTTGCTTTCTTGCTTCATGTTCTACTCATGGTTACTAAGTGACCTGACTGCTATCATTCTCTATTTAAAGTTGCCTGAAGATTTTGCTGTGGTGTTTGGAGAAGCAGAAGGTGAACTTGCTGTTGGCGGCGTTTTCTTGAGAATCTTCATTGCACAGCCAGCTTGGGTTCTGAGGAAGCCTAGAGAGTTTCTTATTGCACTGCTGGAAAGATTGACTGAGCTCCTGGAGAAGAACAATCCACATGTAAGCTTCAGCCATCTGCTAAAGGGTTTGCTCACTATCCTGTTAAAGTGCCACCCTCACTCTCCATGCATTCAGAACTGCCTCTCTCATGGAGCAGCCACAGTTAAATTCAGATATCACATGCTTTTTTTTTTTTTTTTTTGTATTTTCAAAGTGAAACAATTTAGTAAAATGGTTCTTTCTGGGCCAGAGTTGGAAGTTTCTATATTGAGTGGGTACTCTGCAATATTTATAGAAGTGCTAACCGAATTCCAGTGATTGTATAATTTTAAGGAGAAACCTGAATGTTAATTGTTCCCTGCAAGGGTGTTCTGCTAGGGTGTTCTTTACTCAGTTTTCCATATATGGCAGGGTTGATCCTGCATGATTGGCAGAGGGAACCCTGTGCCCTTGCTTAAAGCCAAATGCTACTGGGAAAGCAGGAGTGAGAGAAAGTTGTGTTGGTCTTGGTTTGGTGAGTCAGAAATCCTCATGGTATATAATCCCCTTAGGTTGAAAATAATTAAGGTGTGTGGCTGTTGTTGAATCAGACAGGCTGGCTGTAGAGCAAGACAACCAGGAACCCACACTGTGCCATAGATGTTCCCGGGCCCCTGCTCCAACTTGGCGCCACCTCGTGACTGCCTTAGCTGTCTCGCTCATGGCGTGATTGCAGAGGTTTTTAGTGAGCTCTGAAATAGTTAACATAATGTCTGACACCTGTTAAGTACTTAGAAATTATCAGTTACTATCATTAGCTTAAGAAAACTTAAAAACATCTAGCATACTATTTTTTTTTTTTTATCTATTTCCATAGACATGTTTTCTCTTTACTAGGATTCTTACCTCAAACATAGTTTGCTTAAAAAATTTAATCCTAAAAAGCCACATACTTAGAAAGGGAAAAACATAACATTTTCTCCTGGATCATTTTGGGCACACCCCAGTTCCCAGGTTCATTTACGATCCATGTAGCCTGGAGACATGTGTCTGGGCCTAGTGGTGTGTGTGGTTGCTGCAGTCAGGTCCCCGATAGCGGTGCATCGTGGTAGCCAGAGGTGTTAAAGAGCAGGATTTTTAAGAGACCTGGGAAATTTACCGATGTTCTCAAACAGCAACATTTCTGTAGCTTGGACTGAAAATTCCTTGTGTTAGTTTTTGGGAAATGAGATGGGACCTGGCCCGGTGCAGGGCTGCTGGGGTTAAGATACCACATTGTTCAAGTCCTTTGAATGCATGCCTTTTTTCAAGATAGGGAAGTTTGTTCTCTCAGGATTTGTAAAGCAGTTCTGAGTATCAGCGCCTAGAGCTTGTGAATCCCTAGTTGGAACATGGAATAATTGCCAAGGATGTCGAGGACCTTAGCAGTATTTATAGCTTACTTGCCCATTGGTTTCACACGCCCCAGGGAGAAACTCTGGAAACGCTAACGATGGCAGCAGTGTGTCTCTTCAGCGCGCAGCCACAGCTGGCCGATCAGGTCCCACCGTTGGGCCACCTGCCCAAGGTCATCCAGGCGATGAATCACAGGAACAACGCCGTCCCCAAGAGCGCCGTTCGGCTCATCCACGCCCTGTCTGAAAACGAGGTATTGCGGCATCCCATCAGTAGTTTATGACTCTGGCAGCTAGTGCACCCTCTTCCTGCCTAGCACACGGTGCACTGGAAATCCCCTTGCTACCGTGCGTGCGTCTCTGTGGATGTGCCCCATGGTGCTGTGACCTTTAACCTGTTTAATGATGTGATTTCACTCGGTTTATTATTGACCTGGATGTAGGTTTTCATAGATTTTATTACTGTGGTGTGTACTGTGCTATGCAAGTGAGCGCAACTCTACAAGTAACCGTCTCTTTCTGGGCCCTTAGCTGTGTGTTCGAGCCATGGCATCTTTAGAGACCATTGGCCCGCTGATGAACGGAATGAAAAAGCGACCAGATACTGTTGGTCTCGCCTGTGAAGCCATTAATCGAATGTTTCAGAAGGAGCAGAGTGAATTAGTAGCACAAGTAAGTGACTCTCCAGACCCCGCACTACTTGGGGAAAGCCCGCACACCAGACAAGCAGGTGCTCACTGACTCGGGGCTGATTGCTTTCCCTGGCTTAAGTTAGGTAGGAAGGAGCTTGTGGGTGTGTGCGTGCACGATTTCATACTCTGTGTGCACACACATCCTGAAAGTGACGTATACACACAGGGCAGGGGGCACCAGCTGCCAAAAATCTTACCAACTTCAGAATACTCATGTGATGTTTAAATTTTAAATGCTAATCATCTATTTAGCTTATATCCTAGGTTTCTTTATAAGAGTTGCTTTGTCCCCTTTGGAAGATTCTTATCTCTTAAGTCATGCTTAAGAAACATGCCGAGATTTTTATTGTCCTTTTCAAAGAGACAGACGAACCACCTAATGAAGAGGGGACTTGGTGGGCACCGGTAGAAAGAACACAGACTTAAAGGAAAAAGCTTTGCGAGCGTGGTCTTTTTAAATTACAAATCTTAAATGTAACTGGGTCACTTCTCATCTTTAAAACCCTTCAGGGTTTAGCATCACCTGCCAGAGGACCAGGTGGCCTCGGGCACTCTTAGCCCGAATACCAGGCCGTGATTTTTATCGGTGTGTCCCTCCTCTTCTCCCCGCCCCGGCCTTCCACCTCCCTTTAAGCCAGCTCACAGCGCTGGATACAGCTCTCGGGGATCATTGGATGCCCCGAGGGTCACACAGCGGGCTTGGGGGGTGGAATGGGGGAGAGCGCGAGCTGGCACTACCACCTGGTGGCTGGCACTTCACTGTGACCTCAGGCGTGATGCATCCAGCACTGGGGCTCCTCATCTGCACAGGGACGTGGTCCTCACTCCCTCACAGACTGGCTCTGAGAATAGTAGCTGTCAGCAAGAGGGCACTAAATGTTCGTTACTTCCGCTTCTTCCTTTTGGGTTTCAGAGCAGACAGTGAAAGCTGTGTGCCAGAGGAGTGCCTGGCTTCCGTGTGGCAATACAAAGGTTGATGATTTCAGAAAATGTGAAAAAATATTAATATATTCCAGATCCTTTTGCCCACTAATGCGGTGCCATTGGGGGAGGCGGCCCAGTACCATGGCTGAAAGCTCAGGCTGTGACTGTAGATCCAGTTCCAGATGTAGGTCATGGCAGATCGCGGCCTACCTCTGTGACTGAGAATGTGTTTAACCCCTGTGTATTGATTTTCCACTATTAAGATTCTCATTAGATGTTGGGAGGATCAAATAAAATAATCTATGTAGGATATTTAGAACCTTTGATGACATGGAATAAAATGTCATTAAATAAGAATATCTTCCTTAGATATGAGAAAAACTATCTGGCATTAAAAATTTTTTAAAAGGAGGTCCTTTTCCAGACATGGTCCTGGGGTTGAAATGGTTTCTTTAGTGGCTGGCTTATTGTTTCCCCCATGTAACATACACATACACTTATACTCTCTTCTAGGCCCTGAAAGTGGACTTGGTCCCATACCTCTTAAAATTACTCGAAGGCATTGGCCTTGAGAATCTGGACAGCCCAGCAGCCACTAAGGCTCAGATTGTTAAAGCTCTCAAGGCAATGACTCGTAGCCTGCAGCACGGAGAACAGGTGAGTCTGCGCCGAGCGACTGACCATGACACAAGGGGTTCTCGAAGCCGGGGCTCTCGGCCCTGGGTGACCCATCCGTCTCTGCTCAGGTTCTCCTGGCAGGGTGGGCCTGCTGGCTGGACGTGCAGTGGGTCCCAAGCCCCAGGAAGGACTTGCGTGACTGCCTGTTAGCCAGTGAAAAACACAAACTGTGTATTCATCTAGTCAAAAGAATTCTTACTCTGGATAGTGAGAGCATGTTGTACATTTCAGGACGGAAATGGCCAAAATTCTTCCGCATAAAAGAATGTTGACCAACTAGTGCTGGTTAAGATTAGCTTTCAGTTCTGGGATAGTGATGACCACATGTATCAGCCACCCCACAACGCCTTTTAAAAATATACAGAAGCATCATCATAGCTTCATTGTCTCTCTCAGCACTTACAAACTGTCGGCTTCCTGGTATGCAGGTGTTTCCAGTGCGTCACTGCTGACCTATGGCCCATTCTGTAATTTCATTTTTCTCTTGGGTTTTATTCTTTGTGTTGCTTCTGAGAAGTTCCTCGTTCAGTCTCACTATATAGCCCTAGCGACTTAATGGTCTATGTAAATGAAGTGAAATTTACAGAACAAAATCAACCATTTTGAAGTGAACAGTTAACTGGTACTTAGTGCATTAACAGTGCCGCTGCCGCCACGTCTACTTCCAAGACATTTCCATCACCCCAAAAGGAAATCCTGTGCCCATTAAGTAGTAACTTACCATTTCTCCCTCCTCGAGCCCCTTCCAGCCACCACTATTCTGGATATTTCATATGAATGGACTCCTACATACACTGTGTTCAGCCAACTTGTGATCTGAACGCTGAAATGTGAGCGCTGTCCTCTAGGTTGGAATTTCCTAAACTTTTTTTAATCTTGTAACAAACATGTCTCTCATCTCAATCCAATACATGTTCACACATACATCATTAGACTCTCATATGTACACATATGTTACAGAATCATACTCCGGCTTTAACCATCTTTGTTTCCTCAAGCACGCTGGCCACAGCCCATAATATGCACGACTGCTTTAAATGTTAGTTCAAGTTTGCAGCGTCTGCTCCCCAAGCCCGTCGCCGGGATAGTCCGTGAAGGCACACCCCATCCGCCAGCTCTTGCTCGCATAAGATACACTGGACAGGATTGTCCTGCCCAGGTTCCAAGTCGGTAAACTGGGTTCAAATTACAGAGTCCAACTTTAGAGGGAAGTTTGACTTGGGGTCCTGTAGGTCTGTTTAATGGGGTGCGCCTGGCAGTGTTGGCATAGTGTTGATTAATATTAGGTCTCCTTGCTGACCTTTTTTTTTTTTTTTTTAAAGATTTATTTATTTATATAAGCACTGGGTACAGTCAGAAGTGCGGGAGGGTGAGAGTTCACTGCAGGCAGAAGTCCCGAAGTACACTGCTGAGGGGAGCAGCGGGCGGCAGGAGAGGTCTGCGCGCCATGTGGGACCCTCCTCCGGTGGCCGGGGAGCAGCCGGAGATCGAACCGGCACTGCAGAGGCTGCGGGCAGTTTTGCAACCCAGCGCTCAGCCGCTGCGCCACCGGGGAGGCCCTCCTTGCTGACTTTTTTCCTTTTGTCTTGGAGGGTTTTTCTTCTGTAATTGTATCTGCCAATATCCTGTCCTTCATTGGTTTATGTTCAAAGAGTTTGCTTTACTCCCCCAGGTGAATGAAATCCTGTCTCGGTCTTCGGTCTGGAGTGCCTTCAAAGATCAGAAACATGATCTGTTTATTTCTGACTCTCAAACAGCAGGATACCTCACAGGTAAACCGCATCTAATTGGTTACCCTAAAACATGTATCAGAAGCCATTTGGACCTTCCTTCTGCCCTAAGCTGCAGGCAGCATCGAGATGGTTTCCCAGGCTGGGCGCTTCCTGGGCTGGAGGCGCTGGGGTGGGTAGATGGTTTTAGCTGTGGCTGCGTGTGCTCCCTGAGACACAGACTTTGCTCAATTCTGATCACGTTCATGAATGACGGTGTGGAGCAAGGCAGTGTCAAAGTGTTTCTCTTGCACGTGCAGAGGCAGGAGAGGCATGTCCCTGAGGAGCAGCGGTGTCAGGAAGCAGCAGCATCATTCCATTCCTGACAACACAACAGATTCAGTCCAAATATGTATCCTCCTGGGGGGAGTCCTGTTTCCAGTGATTAGTTCGTATTTTACTGTGTATATAAAGCTTGTCCTCTCTTGGGAGGAAGATAGGGCGCCACAAAAGGATGTGACTACTTTGGGGTGCAGGGGTGATACGGTCCTGAAGCTTGGGGCGCTTGGCCCACTCATTGTGTGATTTTAGAATATTCATTTTCATAACAGGCTTCTGTTTAAGAAGGTCATCATGCTGTTCTGTGTATGTGGAAGAGAAATGGTAACTTCTGGTTTAAAAGCGTTTGATTTGAAATGAGCCTTAAGAGTGTTGGTGGCTCTCGGTGTCTGTCTGCACCTGTAGCGGCCTCCTCTTAGCAGAGGCGACACGGGAAAAGTGAGAGAAAAAAATTATTACCCTAGTATTCTCTGTCCAGCATAATTGTCTTCGTAATCCCGAGTGGGAGTGGCAGCACCAAAGCTTATCATGAAGACCGATCTGAATAGCCAAAAACAGGAACATTGGAGAAAGTTCTGCGTTTTAATTTCTGCTTTTAATTTTAGACAGGGTAGTGACAATTGTTTCCTTCACTGTGACAGCTTTACTATTCCCCTGCTAACATCTGTGGGCAGAGCCCTAAGAGTTACCCACAGTACTTTGTCTTCTGGCTGGTCGTGTGCGCGCCTTGGAGCAGTGTCCAAGGGGTTCCCTTTCTAACACCCCTGTCCTGTGGTCTCTGTGGAGAGACAGACCCAGCCATATCTCGCCTTCAAATCTGAGGTAAATCTGTAGATTCTCAGAAGTATGTTCTCAAAGGCACACCAAAAACTTTGCCTCTAAACTCTTTTCCCTAAGTGTACATGCGACCACATTTTTGAGGCATTACATTTATTACTTTGTAGATGAAGATGTTATGATTGGAAAATCTGCTGTATTTTTTTCTAGCTAAGAATAGATTTTTTGAAATTAAGCTTCCTGCAGGAAGGCCGCCTCTTTGTTCTCCCCGGCAGCCAGCTGTCCTGACCCTGCAGAAAGAAGGCTGCAGGTGCCCCTTGGCTGGCCAGCTGTGGGCCACAAGGTCTGTGGAAGAGAGAGGGATCTATCTTTAGAGACCTCAGCTTCCTTTACAAGTCATTTGGTTGGTCTCTCCCCCATTCAGATTCCCTCATTGTGGGGGGAACGGACAGGGGGTGAAGTTTCCTGCCAGTGAGGGGTGAGGAACCGTGGGGCTCGGGAGAGGGAGTGGGGAGAAGGCAGGCAGGGGTTTACCGATTCCTTCACTGCCTTGGCTGCAAGGACAGCAAGTTCCTTACAAGCCAGTCCAGGGGAGGATGGTGTAAGCCAAGTCTCCAGAGGGCCTGGTGTTTCTGGGGCCGGCCCGAAGGCCGGGGCGGGAACGTGCAGGCACCTCCGCGCGGGGTGATGGGAACCAGCTGCGAGCACCCTCGGGCTGCGGTGTTCTTTGGCTGCAGTCTTAGGTGTCTGAGAGGCCTTTGCCGGCAGCCGCTCCGTCCCGTCTGCAAGGACCGGCCGGCGGGGTAAGCGCTGGCGGTGGGATTGGCCGGACTTGCTGCCGCTCGTCCTGTGTGCGCGTTTCCCTTCATGTGTTGTGTGTCTTGTGTTTGGTGAAAGGGCACGTGCGTCTAGTGGCCAGTCCTCCCGTGCGCACGGGCGCGGCGTGTGTGGCTGGCGTGTGGGGCGGACTCTGTACCCACAGCGCCCTCGGTCCTGAGCGCATTCTCACGGCCGCCTTCTCACCAACTTCCAAGCCCGGTGTGAGGACGCGCTGCAGCCGCCCTTCCAACGCGCGCTTTGGGGCGAGTTTGGCAAGTGAGTGGATTTTGGTTAGAAGTTGGGGTGGGATCGAGGAAAGTCAAGTATTAGTTTAAAGTAAGGTGGGGCGGACCCGAAATGTACTGATCATTTTTCTCCCTGCTTGCTGCACAGCGCGCCCGGTCACAGGCTCGCGATTCAGGGTGAGGGGGGCAAGGCCTGGGCAGGGTCACAGGCTGGTGGTGCCCTGCGGCTGCCCTCCTGGCACGTGATCTGCTCTGTCTGCGCTGCAGACAGACTAGCTGCTCCCTGCCCGGGGCCCTTGGGGACGCGCCATTCCTGAGGCCCGAGACAAGCTTTCACTGGGAAGTTCAGGCCCCATCAAGTAATGTCAGCAGGGACGACCCCTGCGTTATCGCGACTAGAAAACCCGTGAAGGGAAGAGAATGAGCAGAGGTGGAGAGGCTTTCCCGGGCTGGCGAGCTGCGTGTTTCTAGGCAGGGAGCAGCGGGGCCCTTCCCGGGCCGCCTGGGGGAGGTGCAGCCCGTCGGCTCCCAGAGTTGGCTCCATTCCCTTCTTCCTCCGACGCCCAAGACCCCAGGAGAGAGCCGCGGGGTCCCTTCACTCTGGGACCCGGCGAGCAACCGGTGAGGCCGAGCATCGTCTCCGCCCCGAGCCCGCCGGCCAGTGCCGTTTGCGGGGTTCTTGTCCTGTTTCCGCAGCCGCGCCTCCCGCTGCCGCGCGCCCTCCTGGCCGGCCCCGGGGAGAGCCGGGGTGTGGGCGGCGTGGCCGAGTCTCCTGACAGGGAGGCGGGGCTGGAATTTGGTTTCTTCTGGACCTTTCTAGACCCATCGTGTCACCACTTAGACTTACCCAGAGGTGCCCGGGCCGCCTCCGTTCCCAGAGCCCGCCCGCCGCGGCGTCTTCCTCGGCTGCGCCCGGCCCTCCCCCCTCCCCCCTCCCCGCGGATGGAAGTTTTCAGTCGCGTCCGGGCAGCACGAGAGCAGGTGCCAGTGCCGGGCGCGCGGCTTCCACTGGGAAACGCCCCGCGGCGGCGGTCGGGAGCTTGTCCGGGGGCCCTGCCCGGCCTCCCCAGCCGCCCTGCCGCTCCCCAAGGCGCCGCGACCGCCTGGCCCGGGGCGGGCGTCGCGGGGCGTCTCCCGCGGGCCCGGAGAGGCGTGATTCCTGCGCCCGGGAGGCCACCCCAGAGGACCCCGAGTCCTGCCCCGTCCCCCGGGCCGGCCCGCCTCCACCGCCCTCCGCGCCCTGCCGGGGCGCCCGGCCACCGCCCTCGCCCTCCTGCTGACGTCTCTTCTCTCCTCAGGTGTGTCTCCTTCCCTTCTCGCGGGCAGCAGCCCCCTCCACCTCCGGGGCGGGCTTTAGACCCGCTCCCCAGGCAGCTTGCTCGCTTCTGTGTAGCTGACAGGTAGAGAACCTTCCGCTCCGTGCTCCGTGCATGCCGCCCCACCGCCGGGGCCCGCGGGGTTCCCGCCCGGGCCGTGGGCGCGGGATTTCGCTCCGGTGTGTCCTGCGCGTTCTCGGGGCGCGGCCGGCTAGAGGCTGGCCCGGGCCGCATGCTCGGGGCAGAGGGTGCCGCGGAGGACGCCCCTCGACGGCCTCCTTGCTCCCCCCGGCAGGCGGCGGCCTCGTTGGGGCGCTGGCCCGTGGGGACGAGCTCGGCCCGCCTGCGTGCCGGTGGGCGCGTTTGCCGGGATTGTCCCGAGTGGGACTTGGGGGGGCGGAGCACAGGCCCCCCCCCCCCGCCGGTCCCCCGCATCCGGCATAGCCGCCCTCCAGCCCCAGGAGCTTCTGAAAGACTAAACTTCTCGGACGTGAGAAGGAAATGACTCCGCCATTCCACGCCGGCCTGACTGCAGCCAGCGTGGTCTTGACGCGCGTCTTAGCTTTGGCGCGGGGTAGAGGCGGCGCCCGGCGCCCACGTGGCGCAGCTGAGCTGGCGCTGGTCGCTCTCCCCGCGCACGGGCCCGCTCACCTGGACGCGTGTTCTCCCCTCGCAGGACCTGGCGTCGCCGGCTACCTGACCGCGGGCACGTCCTCCTCCGTCCTGCCCAGCCTGCCGCCGCCCGTGGACCCCGAGGCCGGCGAGCTCGGCTAGCAGCGGGCGCTCCGGGGACAGTGAGCGCCGGCGCCCGCCACATTCCTGCAGCGACGGTGACGAGAACTCCTACTGCCTTCTCCTGGTTCATGACAGTGTTATTCCTTTTTCTATAAGTATATTTTTATTTAGGAAAAAAAGTCAGTGATGCTACTTGTGTCCCGTGTCCCGCAGGCGCTCGGGAGCGGCCGCCGCGGGTCCTCGAGACGTTCCTTTCCTGCGGTGTGAGCACATGTCCTTCCTTTCCTGTTTACAAGACTGTGAATCAACAAGACAAGACTTCCTAGTTTTTATAATGTGTTTCGTTGTTGTTTTTTTTTTTTTTTTTTTGAGCTAGCGTGCCGTGGGGCTGGGCTGAGTCTCTTGTTCCCAGAAAAGGGGGCTTCCCGCTGCCGCCCCCTCCCGTTAAACACTAGCAGGTTCCGCCGGCCCCTTCACCGGCGCCCTCGCCGCGGTCATCGCCCGGAGCTCACGGCGCGGCGGGGGGTGTCACTGGCTTTACCAAATTGGATGAAAAGGAGCTTGTGCAAAAAATTTTAAAATTTAAAAACAATGTCAAGATGTTATGTAAGAGATGAGTGTAATTGTGAACTGTTCTATACATTATCGAATATATAAAGCTTTCTATATTGAATGTACATTATACAGATCATTCATATGTGTACATAAAATTTTAAAAATAAAGGGAACTGCTTTGTTAATGAGAGACACTTGTTCTTGTCTAATTCCCCCTGCGAACGCTCCCCCTCCTGGCTCCCCCCCTTCCCTCCTTTCCAGCTTCTCCTCCCTTGGGCAGGGCAGGGAACCTGGAACCCCCCTTTTCTCGGGGACCACCCCGTCACAGCACCAATAAACACGGGCGCGCCGGGGTAGGAGCAGGGCCTGCCAGTGCCCGCCTGGACTGGCGGGGGGTGCCGGCCTGACGGCGTGTCTGCTGCCTTCCAGCTGTGCCGGGAGCTTGACTCCTTTTGTTCACCTCATCGACATACTGTTCCAGTCTGTTCTACGGCTAGAAAATTCTAATCTTGAAGTCTACACTGTTTAAGGTGAAAACTGCTGTTACTTTAGACTTGATAACAAGCTATACAGGATGATTTTGAAACTTCTACATTGCTTATTGGGCCTGTAAAAAGTTTAGTTTTATCAGGTTAATTTTTTTTAATAGGGGCATGTTTTTATTTGTTTGTTTATACATGCACTGGGGTACAGTCAGAAGCGCGGGTGGGTGAGAGAATTCACCCGGCGCCACAGGGGCCGCGGGCAGCAGCTGGGGATCGAACCGGCGCCGCAGAGGCCCACGGGCCTGGGGAGCAGCCTGGGATTGAACCAGTGCTGCAGAGGCCATGGGCTCGAGGAGCAGCCGGGAATCGAACCGGCGCTACTAGAGCCCCCCGGGCAGCTTCACAACCCAGCGCTCAACCACTGAGCCACCCGGGAGGCCCCAGGTTAATTGGTCTTAACGAGAAACTTAAGAGTGCAGATGCAGCTTTGTGTGAGTTAAGTTACAAATCTGATGAGAAGCTACGAACAGATAAGATCTTAATGTAGCTCTTCTCCTGTCTCCCCTGTGCATGGCCTATAAAAAGTGTTCTTTTGTTTTCGGAAGGTGCTTGGTCTCCTGAGAGCACAGAAACAAAATAAAGCCAAAGGACCATGTCCTAGGCATGCAAAGTTAAGGAAAATTTTCTCATCTGAAGCTAGTAAAAACTTAGAAACTAAATTGATAAAAATTCCCAGCGTCTTCATAAATATTGGTAAAATAATTAACTCTTGAAATTAGAACATGTGGCCAAAATTTTAAATGAAAAATCAAGAGCTCTCTGTTTCTGTCTTTGTCTTTTACCTCCAGAGGATTACGGATAAATGGCCCCTATAGAAAATCCCAAACTTTGAGATCACAATCTAGAATTTTGGTAAACAAGAGCTAGTTCAAAACTTGATGTTTTCATTTGAAGCATGCCTTAAGGTTATAATATTGGGCAGTAATACTTTATTCTATGTTTAAATGTATTTACTTTAAAAAGAGAGCTCATGGTATTAAACAAAAAGAGAGTAGTTAACCTATTCATTTAAAATTTTGGCCACATGTTCTACTTTTAAGAGTTATTATTTGGGCCTCCCCGGTGGCGCAGCGGTTGAGCGCTGGGTTGCGAAGCTGCCCGCGGCCTCTGCAGCGCCGGTTCGATCCCCGGCTGCTCCCCGGCCACCGGAGGAGGGTCCCACATGGCGCGCAGACCTCTCCTGCCGCCCGCTGCTCCCCTCAGCAGTGTAC